CCAGGGCCTCCAGGCCACAGGTACCCTGCCACCTCCTTTACATTCCTTTTGCCTTTTCACCACAAATGTCACTATTGTTTTCCCCATCAGGGACAGGGAAGGGTGTGACTGAAGCAATTGCTTACCCGTTTGGCTTTTTTGATGGAGAGGAAGCCATTTGAAAGTGTGTTGCATAAATCGGTGGCTCTCTGGCTCTCCAACTGCCAGATCATGTCCAGCTGCAGTACTATGTGAAAGAGACAGGCTGCTTAGGGCTGGGCAAGAAATGATGAAAGGTATCTAGTACAGTGCCAGGGGCAAATCACAGATCTGGGAGGATATAGGGTGCTAGGCATGGCTTTGGTAAAGTCTCAGAAAATCCATGGTTCTGCAGATAGTAAAGAGCTGTGGATATAGAGATGTAGCACCAGTCCCCAGCTTGCACTGATGTGCTCAACATGTTGCCAGCGTTTGTAGATGAAAGAAAAAATGGCCTTCTGCTTAGTCCTTACTGCAGTTTAAAAACAAAAAAGTCTTTGACCACATAAGGCAAAAAAAGCAAGACATTAGTGGTAAGCTATTGTTATGTCATTTTGCATGTTTGTACAACACCCAAAAATGCTGTCTGGAGCAGTCATTTATTCCATACCCACCAGATAGTATATCCTTTTTTTTTTTTCTTTAATGTGCTTTAGACTCATATCTTATTCTGTAAACCTGTGAGACTCCTTATCTCTGCATCTTAGTCACGACTAACACATATCCCTTAGGAGTGTTTTCAGTAACTTCTCTGAGATCGGAATGACATTATGACAGGATGTTACAATTTAGTTTAGTTTATCTTTTTAATTCCATTTAACAGTCCGAAACAAATTAGGGAAGTTAATAGCAAGGATTCAGGGCTATAAGGAACTGTACCCTGAGCCACCAAAATATTTAAGCACACCAATAGTCCCACAAGTTGATGAAGTTGTGTGTAGATTTAATGTATTTGGTTAAGCCAGCATGCTCAGATCAAGTCTCATGTGAGTGATATTTCTCCGTTCTTTGTCAATCATTAACAGCTGTTTCACAAACCATTTTCTGATAATAAATATGATAGGATTTCAGGCCTCCTGAAAGGAGGTTACAAAGTTCCTTATCCTTGCCATAATCACAGCCTAGCCATAATCACCTCCTAAGTAGGAGGTTTTATTCTGCTCCTGTTGGTATATGTGATGAAATGGTAAATGGAAATGATTGTATCAAATCCGATGGATGGTAGAAGATGCAAGATAGGGAAAGAGGGAAGGAAAAGTGTTTCATTTGAAAATTCGCAGAAGGAGATTACAGGAAAGACTTCTCACATAATGAAATGGGAGATGGAACAAGGGCAAAAGTCAGCAGAAGATTGCAACCAAATCTGGTACCTTCCTTCCTCTCCATTGGTCTCAGCCCCTCACCATCTCTCTCATAGTACCTTCATCTCTACAGGCCCTTGTGGAACAGAGCCGTTTTCTCTAACATTTTTCTCTTTACAGCTTTTGTTGCTCTTTTCCCTGACCAACGTTTTGCTTCAGTTATTAAAACTTAATGTCCTTTTAGCAAGACAAAAAAACCCCAAATCTGTGTGGAAAGATTTGTTGCAGGTGTCTGTCTGGTCAGTGTAAGTGCAGATTAAATGGAATATTGTTCATGCATGGACCTTATAGTTGTTGTTCAAGGGTACAGAGCAGAAGTTCACCCTATGCTAGTTTAAGGATAATCTCAGTTTGCAACTAGCTGCTTCAAAGATTATGGCTTAATGTATTACCAAATTATGGTTGTCAGTCTCAGACCACAGACAGATCTGCCTCAATAATTGGCTAACAAGTCCAGAACTAATTCTCAGAAGAACTCAAGGACAGCTGAGCTCAGAAGGTCTTTACTATAGTAGAAGGCAAAGCCTATTTTTTCATCTTCTTTCATCTTCAAAAATCACCCTTTGTGCTTTTGGAAGGTGATTAGATAATATAGCTTATTGCAACCCTTTCCCTTACTGTTAAATACAGTTGTTATAACACAAGAACATAAATTTCTAACAGTTATAAATTTGAATATAAAGAGTAATGTGTGCTGAAATGGAACATTTAGGTGAGAAATAAGATAATAATCAGAACAGGCACTTCAGTTAAATATTGCAACCAGTGCCTGAGTTTAAATGTAGTCAAATGGTTCTGTGTGTTTGATAGGACATTCTGTTGCTACAGAAATAATTTGCATTCTATTATTATGTAATGTACTGAAACTGAAACAATTTTTTCATACTTATAATGGAGAATAAAATATAAATCATGCATTTAAAACAAGGAAGAAATTATTCAAGCATGGTAACAGTAAGCTTTAGTATATTCAACAATTCTATTAATATTAATTTTGAACATTTTGTTATACATTTGTGAACAACTACAGCTTAAGTAATCAAAATGAAAAAATGGGGGGTTAATCTTTGATGTTTATCTTATTACTATGCGTAACAACACTGTGCTTCTGGATAGCAAACAGATTCCCTTAGAACAATACCGATGTGACTCCATTTCCAGCTTTCTGAGGAACCATCCAAATTTAACAAAAAAACCCCCCAAACTCTAGTGCATTTTATTTTCGATTTTTAAAGGTACTTCCAGAAGTTTTAATTGAAATATCAGGAAATTAGTGGGGGTTTTTTTCAGCAAAAAGCTAAGACCTAATTCTGCTACACTGACACAAAAGAAAGATCTGCCATTGACTTCACGGTGAGCAAAATGGGCTTTGTAATCTGAGATTTGGGATATTTTTAGAACATTCTTCTGAGATATATCTTGATTTCTATTAAAACTAATGAAAAGACCCCTGTGGCATTTTGCAGGAATTGGATCAGGATCTCAGTGGTACAGTCTGTTCTATATATAACTTAGACACTGCCGTAGGTGTTTGTGGGAGACAGGTTCTCAACCCGAAGGAGCTGTAAGAGGTGATGGAGTTTGAGAGATGTAAGACAGGTTGAAATAATTGCCATGGCAAAGGGGAGTTGTGTGATACAAGCTGCAGTTTTGTACTGCTTTTGAAAGGCCAGACTCTGGCAGGGTGATGGAATTGCACATCTGTGGATATTTATTATTTTCTGTAACAGTGGCATGACAAATTACATGTATTTGGGTTCCCATTTTGAAAGTCTCCTACCATGGAAATCCTCCTTACTGCATTTCTCTATGGGACCTACGCTTATGTCCTTCACGACCGTGGTATAATACATAGATATGTAGAACAAGCTGTGACGTGAAACTGAATCAAGCTCTGTGTGTCAAACAGTACCTAAATTTAATAGGATGTTTTTAGTTGTAGTTCAGTCTGTATTTAAGTTTCTCCCACCACCATTTTGTGTAGCAGTCAGTATTTTGATTTTTTCTCTGTTGTATTTTACATTCATCTGTCACTCACTGTGGACCATCCAAGTTATTTAAATCCTTTACATTGTTTACAGAGATGTTATTACTCTAATTGCCTACAAATAAGTGTCCTATCCAGTATTTCATCCAGCATGAATGTTTCTTTTGGTTTTAAAAAGAGTGGAATGGAATTCTATTAGAATTCTACTAGAAGGAAATGGATTTCTTTCCATCAGAGATATCAGTGTTTCAACTTTTATGCATTTACATGCTATTCATATTCTGTGCTTTCTTATGCTAACAGTTGGATTAGGATGGATTAGAAACTGATATTTCTCATGTTTTCAATATTTCCACAGTTGTCATAGATCCAACACCTAAAAATACCAGTGGAATTCAGTAATCTTTCATCAATAATCCATCTCTGGAAAAAGACAGTACAATATGATTGAGCATCCTAAGAGTTGAAATCAATAAGAATATTTTCCTAGTTAAATTGAAATATCTTATTTTCATCTCTTATGTTTAGTAATTTCTGGTCACTTTAAAGTTGAACTCAGCTTGCGCAGTAACGAAATAAATTCTGACCTTTATTTTAATTGGTTTGTTTTTCAGCTTGAACTCTGCTTCTTCCATGGTATCTAAGCATCTGCAAATGAGTCATATTTTTCTATATCCTCAGTACATAAACATGTGAATGAATGCAGTAATGAATGTGAATGAGCACAGCAGAGATTCTTGGCTTATATTTATTCCTTATGTGGTCCTTATATGGACCATGAAGCTACACTCTTATAAGAAACCAGTGAGTCTGATGCTACTGAGTGGAACAAGAGGTACAGTTGGACTGAGTCACTGAGGGGAAGAAGGACAGTGGGTTTAGAAGAAATGTGAGTGCTGTAGCAAAAAGTGTGGAGGGAAATGAACACGTGGGGCAGCCCATACTTTAGGGTGAATGCCATATCCACAGTAACTCACCAAGACCATGAGGGAATTAATGAAGTGGAGTGGACTGAAAAGCAGTCATGCAAGTCTTGGAGATAAGAAATGGCCAGATGTCATCCTGATCCACCTGATGAAACAGTTTTGCATGAAAGAAACTTGGATCAAACGAAAACCTACTTATGGCCCCCCTGCATCCATAGGAGATGGTTCTGTTTCTGGGGATCTTCCATTGTGGCCAAACTGGTCATGGTGAAAAGTAGAGCCCACATGGCATTATGAGGACTGCATGTATCATTTCCTTGAAAAAGTAAGTGGTGTCTGCCTCAAGCTGTGATGACCTAGAAGTATCAATTAACACATCCACATGATACCAACATTCTTTTACAGAGTAGTATATATATCAATTCCGGACAGGATTTGCTCTAATGAACTTTGCTGATCATGGACATTTTTAGTAATTAAATTCACATTGTCAGTACATAGATCGTTATTCAGATACTTAGAAATTCCTGCAGTGCAATTATCTGGTATTGAGACATAAGTGCCCATCTACTATGCATTTAAAGTTAGAAACTATTACAAATGTTATAAAAAAGACCACTAATAAACTTTTGTGTTAAAATATTATGGCTAGTATACCACTCGTGAAATCTCAGCTTGAATTTATTATCCAGTTCATGACAAGATCATGTTCTTCATTCGAGTTCAGTGGGGTTTACCCAAGGCTGCTTTTTCCACTGGTTTCTTTCCCTGCCTATCCAAGCTTTCTCTGGGCTGAGGAACCATTTCTGCTACTCCTGCTTTTCCATCAGTCTTCTTTGGTGCTCCCTTGTTGCTTTTTGTATCCTTTTCTGTTTCCACAGGAGGGATGTAATTTGGATCAGGTGTCTCTTCTGTATCAATAATTTCTTCAACATGAGGCTTAATACAATCTGATTTAGGAGAAGTAATGAAATTTGCCTTGTATTTACTGTGCTTAGCAATATTTCCTTCACATTGGTTATGACCTTATCATGTTCTTTTCCTCTTCCCATACCCATATAAAGAGATTCAGTATCACAAATAACATTCCTACTTTTTATGGCACCAAAACCAAGCTCAAGTCTTTATGGTCTCTAATTAAAATCCTTATGAAGTAGATCCTGTAAAACATTACAAATGTAAATAATTGTTTCCCACTTAAGTCACCTAATTTACAGGATTGCTCAGAAATGTCTACCCATACCCATAAAGCAAGAGAGGAGAGAAATGCAGTAAAATACTTGTTCTTGCCTTAGGAGCGGAAAGGGGAGTGCATAAGAGTATTAATTGTTCTGTCAGCAATGATATAACATGTATACGTCCTGTATACAAAGAAAAAATACTTATGCAAAAATATGTAAAACATGTTCTGATACTCTTGGAATGTAAAACTTACTTGGAGCTAAAATGTTCTACATGAGGGAGTTGTAATTGTGAAGAATAAATCAATGTCCAAATAGCAATCATATAGTAACAGTCTAAAAGAACAATAAAAATCTGTAATATACAAGAATGCTGAATCACCAGAGAAATTTAAATTTTCCACCCTTTTTCTAAATTGGAGAAAAAATGGTTGCTTATAATTCCAACTTTACCATTCAATATGGACATAAAGCTAAAAGAGAATAATTGATTAATCTCAAATAATGGCAATACAATCAGGAGTTTCTAAAACACTTAGGCATTTAGGACCCTGTAATCAGCAGGACCTTTTTTTCTGGGTGAAGTGTCAAAGATCTAGCTGCTGAAATGAGTCTCACTGTGGAAAATAACACTATCTGTGTATGTATACATGATTGCAAAGTCTTTCCTCTGCATTCAGAAATTTAGAAGTATTTATTATGACTTAAAAACCTTTAATTATACTGGTGAGTCAAGGTGAGAATCCACAATGAAGTAGGAAAGGTGATTTAAAAATGTTGATTTAAATCTCTTTCACTGAAGTTTAACCTGGCAATTCAAACTTTGCATCTGTTGTTAATTAAGAGGGTGCATACTGTAAACTTGATTGATTGGGACCTATGAAATATTGATTGGCACAGACTATGGACTCCATAATGTTTAACAATTTTTTCGTTTGAATAGAAGACCATAAACATGAAAGCACTCTTACCTTTCTTTTCCCCTTCCTTCCGCTTGCTTGTCATTGTTTTTTTCTTTTTAGATACATTTTTATTATTTTGATTGTGTCCTTGGACTGTGTCAGTCTGCCCTGATACAGGCATCACAATCACCTGAAGCAAAGCAAGAGCAAAAAGTGCACAAGCAAGAAATGCGGATACATCACAAATTCAGTCTGAAACCACCATAACTGAATCCCTGGCAGAAGCACGTTTCGAGGCAGCTATTACTCTACCTTTCACGGACGCATCTGCCAAAGCAAAGCAAAGCAAAGTAAAATCCAGCCTGTTACCTGAGGTGACCCACTTGTGTTCCCTGGTAGTTCTGCCAAAAGGAGGGAGGCAAGAGGACAGATTTTTGAAAATAAAGTAGTAGAAATAAGCTGCTGCCAAAATGCAATCATTATTAAAAATACGCTAATACTAAGTAATAAACATCAGTTATCGTTGCAAAGAGCAAGTCATATTCTTTTTTGCACTCTGGAGGATGGAAGAGCTGTGACACTTGTTTCTAAGGTATATATCCCAGGACAAAGATGGAGCAACCTGCATATCATCCTTGTCATCATGTCATCATGTCATACTAAGAAAAATTATTAAATAATTTTAAATTTTTTAATTTAAATTTTTCTGAATTCTTTAAACTCAGAAAGTTTGCTGCATGTCAAATTACAGATCTTCTCATTATTGTATTTTGAAATTTTAAAATTAAGCTGGGTTACTTTGTCTGATATGCAGCTGCTGTGACTAAATAGTTCTTTTTTTTTTTGTAACAGATTATTAATGTACATAATTACACAAGTAAACCTTAAAATTGCAATAATGTCATCAAGTTTGATACTTGAGTTTTAACCATTTTAGGAGATAAGGCTGTGTGAACACATACTGAATGCTGAAAACACATTATCTTTACATAATTTCATGTTAAAAATCCCTGTGACGTGAAATCTTTTCTGAAAGAAAAGAGATTCATACCAGATAAGTTTAACATGTTCCTTGATACTGGTGATACTATTAATGCATAAAGTTAGGCACATGGTAACATGTTTGGGTAATTTATAAGTCTGATCTAAATCTGGAGTATTTTTATAAAGATTAAGATCATGATCATTAGCCCTTTAGAGAAACTGATTTAAAAAAAAAATAAAAATTGCAAAAATCAGCACTTTCACCATTGATAACTATGTTGAATCTATTTTTACTTGAAACATCAAGAATTTCCTCATGCTTCCACTTCACCTTGGATGTTAGCTGACAGTAAACCTCAGATGGCAAGGGTTTAAGTGAGCATTAACTGTACAATCCTTAGTAGTGGCATTCTCACAGAAATGCCAGTACTGCACCAAAATGAGTCCCTGGGAAACAGCAGTATGTCTGCAGTCACAATAGCCAAAAACAACAAGGGACAGTACATGAAAGGTGTGCACAGATCATGCTTGTAGTGAAAATATATGTGTTAATTCTTTAGAGTTTGATGTGAAAAATTGTGCCGTTGTGAAACTAGTAATGAAGAGATTTATAGACAAGGGACATTGCTCTCCTAATTAGCAATTGGGCTGGTAACTGCTTCTGATCCTATCCTATATATATCTAGTATCATATATATATATATATCCTATATGTCCAGCAGGATCTGTTGCTTTTCCTCAGTGAATAATGATTAATGGCACTGTAAAATAGCTGACATGGAGTTTTTAATCTATGTAAGTGTGTTCAAAGATTTGGACAAATGTTTTTTTTTTCTCTGAAACATTTTTATCCAAAAAAAACCCCCCAAAAAAACCAACCACATTTTTTTCCTGTGTTCCAGTGAAGATTCTTATTGCAGCTTTAAAAGATCTTGATGAAATATGTTATTTCTGGATCTCCAGTGTTAATTTTGAATGAAATTAACTGGCACTTTGATCTAACAAAATACTTACCTAACACCCTTAAATCACAATTCGTGAGCAGGTCTGTTGAGAAAGCACAAGACTACTCCTGTGCCAGAATTTGCAAAAATACCTTGTTGAGTTGAGATGTGAAGTAGAGAAGGTCTGGACAGAGAGGTGTGAAGAGATGCCATTGTGGGTTTTATCATAAACAGCAAAGTGAAGATTAACAGGGATCTAAAGGGAAGCTAAAGGTAATTAGAGTGTGAAAGCATTAAGACGCTGAGATAATGTGTACAACTACCAGAGCTGTGACTAGTAAGACAAGACAGTGAAACCAGCTTGTGATAGAAGGAAAGAAGTGAATTCAGTTTATTTGTGAACATAGAGGAGAGTTCATACATTTTTACAGACACACACACACACACATATTAGTATCGTGGCCTACAAGCCTTATTTTCATTTATGTTACAGTACTTTTACCCCATTTGGGCAGATTAAACAATATTTCAGGATGTAAATGACACCCATTTTAAGGCTTCTCTAAATTAACACAGCAATACAAAGGGGCCTCAACGTAGACAAAAACCAGCACTAATTTCTCTATGATCTAACACATTCCATCTAGCTACTTTACCAAACCTGGAATAAATCCTAACTGCTGCTCAAAAATGCCTTGATCATTTTTGATCTTTCCATCTACCATATCAGTTGCTTCCACTGAAACAATTCTTGACCCTTTCCTTCCAGGTGCTCCAGGGAGAGGGTCAAATGCTGGACCTGTGTTAGAACACAACTGGCCCTGTTTTCCCTGGCACAATAAATGTACTAGAAGCAAAAGTGAAGTGAATGGAAAAATCCAAGGCTGCCTGCTAAAGCAGAAAGCCATTTACACACACTAATTATGTCAGCCTATCATCCAAAATCTCCCCCATACTTCTGTCTTCTAGTCTTAAATTCATGCTTTCATTTCTGTTTTTCTTGCTCAGACTCTCTCTCTTCCTCAGGTATATACACACTTACGGTGACATCGCTGGTCTCTGTACCATACTTGTTCTTCACCACAATGCTGTATTTCCCAGAGTCGTGTGTGGACACAGTAGAAATGGAAAAGCTGACATTTTTTCCCGATTCAAACCTCAGAATGCAGTTATCATCTGATACAAATGATTTTTCGTTCTTCAGCCATGAGACCTCTGGAGTGGGATCTCCCCAGACAGTGCAAGAGAGATTAAGTGCCTGTAGAGAAAGTACAAAGGAATTACGAGTCAGTGAATATTTGCTATGTTTTTTAATGCCTCAATCTCCAAATATTCCAACTCCCCATTCGCCTTCCTGCTTTTAGTAAAGGGATGCATACCATCATCAGTAATCAATAATTTATGTCAGTCTTCTGTATCATAAAGGAAAAGAAGGAACTCATTTCAAAAATGCCATTAAAAGCTTTCAATATTTTATGGACCTTCTTCTCTCTCTCATAATCATTAGCAGAGCTTTCTCCATGCATATCGTTTAATATAAAATTAGATATTATCTGCATTTGTGTGTTAGATCTGAAATGAGATTTTGATGAACTCTCAGATGGTTTTGTTCAGATTTTGTTCACATTTTGTTCACATTAAGCTCACTATATCTTTATTCCATAAGTAAAGAAAGTGTGCCTGTTTTTTTTAAATAACAAAGGACAAACTGTCCCTGGAATATTTTGTTTAATTTGGGATCCTTTTCAACTATGCCCTGACAGCTCTTCTAAAGAACTTGAATTGTTTTATGCACTCCTGTAAAACTATTTTTAACTGAAATCAATACAGGCTTTACTCATTCTTTGGTATTTCTCTTTGATGTTAGTAATGTTCCTAAGGGCTGAATTCAGTTCCATCAAACTGAAGGAAGTATCTTCACTGTCAGAGAATCATGTTGTTGGAGGGATCACTGGCAGCTTCTTCTACCTTCAGTAGGTTGGCAAGTATCTTGGGCACACAGTGTTCAGGCCTCCTTTTTTTTCTTGCCAACTAAGATATTCATGTTTGGGATGTTGATACATATAAATGATCCCAGCCTCTGGTCACAGCGCCATAGGAATACTCTTGAAAGTGTTTGCAAAAGTGAATATCGTGTAGAGAGTCAAATGTGAAGGAAGTTCACATGACACTGCAGTGGTACATAGGCCTTTCTCTGGAGCTTTATTCAGGAAGGAATTTATTTATATGTAAGTATTGAATAGTACATTGGTCTTTTTAAAAGATTTAAAATGCTATTCAAAGGGGAATCCCAATTGCTCTTGATTGGAAATTTGAGAACTTCTACTGCAGAGAAAGTGGTCTTCAGTGGTTCATTAAGAATGGACTAAGTGATACATAAGGAATAGACAAGCTTCCGCTTGACTGGAATCAAGTTTTTCTTCCATTTTATTTAAAGGCTTTTTATAAAAACGTGTCAAAAATAGAGACAACTGAAGAGCGCTCCCACCGTTGTCCCTATAAGCTGTTAAGATAAAAATCCACAGTGAGAAATCTATTTACCTGGCTACTTTCTCTTCAACTCTCTGCTTATTATCTGGTAGTGTGATGGTGGAAGATGGGACAGAAGAGAGATGCCCAGAAGGCTATTGACATGAGCAGATAGAAAAATTGATACCTTTATAAAAATAAAAGGTTTTGATATCTCTGAGAACAAAATAAAAATCAAATAAATCTCGCATGCCTGCCCTAAAGACTAAAATGAGAACAAAAGGGAAGGGGAAGTCTTTCCTCCATCAAGGACACATAATTCTTGATACTGAGGGAAGGACAGATTCCAAGTGAGAGGTGGTTACAGCATGGTGGAAATGGCCTCTATCTGATTTCCTGCAGCACCTACAGCTGGTGACCACATGGGACTGTTGACTACCTTCTCTCATAGCCCATTGGTATAAATGTGGTTTTGATTGCCATATCAGTCCATCTTTTTGAAAAACAAGGGGAAAATGAGAGGTTTTACATTTTTCCCTCTTCCTTATCACACTTGACACAGACATATCCTTAGCCTTAGCCTTCAGGCACCTTCAGGTGCTTGGTATGGGCACCTTCAGGTGCTCGGTATTTCTTTGTTGTCTTCTGATTCTCTAGCAAGCAGGAGATCAGCACTTAGTGGCCCCAGCTGCCACTCCACCATAATGCTAATGAGCTGATGTCCATGTCCAGACAGCTCTGTTAGTGGCATCATTCAAACCTGAGGTGTTTGAAGTGCTGTCAGTACTCCTTAATTCAAAGAGATTCAAGCAGCAGTGATGACTCTTTTCTTCTTCTAAATCACTCCCTAAAATAGCTACATTTTCCTTAACCTTGCATCACTAGCTCATGTTTGACATCGGTGCTCCTCTTGAGGTTTCCTCTATTTATTTTCCAGTTACTAACGTGCAGAGATGTGTCTTATAATGCACTACGTAGATGCTGAGATCTTCGATTTTCTGGAAGGTAATTCCATAGCCAAGGAGAAGTAATTGTTCACTGTGACTACACCTGCCTGTTGCAGATTTTCTGTTCTTTGGGCGAAAGATTGTCTTTGCGCATTTATATCTTTATTTCTTACTGAACCCCCTGTTATAATACTGTGTTCAATGTAAAATCCTTATCATGGTAAAAAAAACGTGTCCTGTACTCCTGGATCTGGGGCATTGAGACACATGCACTTGGAGCAACCAGCAGCTGCAAGTTCAGACCCTTTGTGTCCCTCACTATCTTTTCTGCCTTTGACTGCAGATTGTATTGAATGTAATACAAGTGGCAGAGGGAAATGTGTCACTATATTTTAAGTATTGCCATTACTCTTGCATAGTAGCACACATTCACATTCATGGACAGCTTGGTGAGAGAACTGAAGCAGCTCAGTCAGGGGAACCTGTTCCTTTCTTCCAGCCTAGCTGTGAGGACACCTACTGCTGGTAGAAGGATGTTAGGTGTTGCTTCTTTGTCTGAAAGTGCCTGACAAAATCCTAAGCCTCTCCTTTTAAAAATAAAGCCAACTTACTCACAGACCTTCATTAAGACAGCCACTTAGGTTAATTTGGCTGGCTGGACACATACCTAATGCTAGTATTCTCTGTCAAATTCCTCCCTAATGTGAATTGACACTTAGCCTTTTCCAATTATACCACACTGTTGAAGAGCATTTATGTCTATCAGTGGAAGCCTCTTAGGCCATCTGGAATGCTCTTTGATTAACACTGGGTAAACACTGCTTTGTTCATTCTCATCCATATCCTTCAGTTCACATGTAAAAAGCTAATAAATATCATCACAGTCACAATGTTAAGTTTACATTTGAGATATACCTATGCTTGGAAGTTCAGTCTAGGGATACCAATCTGTTCATACAGCCTTGTGGTTATGGCTGCACAAGTATTCACAATCAAAGCTTGCGATTGCCAGACCTCTGCTACCTCATTTGCTGTTTTTCAAAATCCTTGATGATTGTGCAATTTGCACGAATTACACAATGCAGAACTTCATTCCCCTCTCTCAAGCATATATGAAAACAATACACAGATGAGCCAACACCACCCAAACAAGCTCTGTTTTCCCTGATCACTCTCTGTCCTACTCAAAATGATCATCTACTGAATCAAGAAACATAAGGTCAAGGATATTTGTCTCGAGTTCTAAGAGTATTTCAGTCGTTTATTCAATCATTACAAATGTCCTTGCTCTCAAGGACAGTGTGTGTCTGGGTAAGATTTTGCAACTCATTTTCTACTAACTCTTTTTAAAACTACACATTTTGCTTCAGTGAACTTTTACTCAAGTTCATATCATGTCTCTTTTAGGTGAATGCTTAAAACTGGTAATAACCACCCAAATTTACCCCCTACCAAAGCATTATGGGAGTCACATCTCCAAGCACAAGCACTGATTAGCTGAGAATCTGCTAATTTATTCTGTTCCTTTGTGTGTTCTACCTGCAGTTATAATGCTCATATGAGTGCTTCTTATTTCTGTAGCATTTCCTAAACTGCTCAATCCTTTAAAGAAAGGTTTAATCAAACATAATTTCATTTTGTAATGCCAACATACTTAATTTACCCAGAACTGCTGCAGTCTGGGTATCTGTTGGTTATGCTATGTCTCACATTGTTAAGTGATTCAGAACAAGATTTTAGATTCTTAACACTTCCGCTGAACCTACAATCAAATACTTTTAACCTGGCTGACCTACTGCCAAGTAAAGCCAGAAATATCAGAAAGCTGCCTTACTGTAGTTGTCACATTACAGGTTTTTACTGACATTCATGTGCCCTATTTCCGTGTTAGCACACACTGTGAAGTGAAACTGGCTCATGGCAGAGCAGCAGGAAGTGAAGAGCAGACAATTTTTGGTCTCAGTAATATTAAGCAGGAACTTGTAGAAGCAGTGTGCTGGGAAAAGGTTATGAGATTGAGAACTGACTTTTTGGGTCACCTGTTCTGTGCTCAAGCATTGATGTTCCTCTGGGAGTGCCTTACAATAATCTTTCAGCTAAACTCTCCTAATATAATCCAGTGTAACACCAGTGACTTATTTTGACTTCTCTCTCCTTTACCCTGATGGCATAGAGAAAATTTTCTCCTTTTGTCTATGTGAGAATAGAGGTATTGTGGTTTACTACTTTTATACCATTTAAAAGCCAGCTTTGACAGATGTGACTATGTGGCTTCCATGCCACATTGCAAGGAAATTAACTGCAGAAGACATGGAATGACTAGCTACCATGTAAAAAAAGTAATTAAACTTGATGCCCTCTTACAAAAAAAAAATTAACTGTGAAACCTGTGCATGAATTTTTAAAGAGCTGATTATATAAGGAATTTTAGTCCCAACTCACATTGTCATCTCACTTTTATCTAATTCTTAAGAAAAGACACTGCCCTGAATATATAAAACCATCTGTGATAGACTGTTGAATTATGTACAGAAGGCAGGGGACAAATAAATAATGCAGCAGATTTTAAAGATGGCATCTTTAAGAAAAAAAAAAGGTTGAATGTTTTCCCATCATAGACAGGCATTCAAGCTGTTGGGATGTTGTGTAGAGCTTCAGCTAATTTACTGTACCTTGCCCTCCTGGATGGTGACAACATCGGGCAAACCTCCAAGTACTCGGGCACGATCTGAAAATAAAGAAGCATAATTTTCTTTAGTGTCTCAAAATCAACTGTGTGCTGAATTCTGTGTGCCTGATTCTATTTCTCTTCTAGTTCTTTCCCTTTGTCTTATTTATGTACAACTTGTCTCTGATATCTGCTCTATCAGAGAACTATTCAGCATTTTTAGCACACCATTTGGACTTTAAAAAATGTTGAATTCACAGCAAAAGATGTGTTAATAGCTGGTGTGAATCACTTACAGAGGGGAATTAAAGTACATATGCTGTGTTCTGCAGAATTTGACATCAATTCAGTGTTACTTCTGAGTGCACAAAAAAAATTAAAATTTTTGAGATCTGGTTTTCTAAATTTTTAGTGGAGTAAATTAAAGACATTGGGTTTCCAAGGGGAAATGAATGACACCCGATGAAGTGCTCGAGATCAGGTTTTAATCTAAATACAAAGACAGACTTAAGTCTCAGTGTTAACAGTGATGTTCCACTACTTTGTATGTACCTATGTGTAAATGAGATCTAATTGATCTAATTTTAAGCTCAGAGTCCTGTAGAAATCTTACACAAATATGAATAAGCCAATCACATGCAGGGTATAGTGCACTTATCCTGGGAAATGGATTTTGTTCGTTACATATCTGGGCGGAGCCTGGCAGAGGAAGGAAATGACTGTACAGAATGTTCCCCTCTAATGTGTTCTGTCAAAGATGTGCTCTGGAGCACAGAGATAACAACCTTGTGAGACCAGGAAAGGAACTGTGTTATGTCAATTAACATGCCAACCCCTTTATGGATGGTCCAGGGTTAGAAATAAAATGGTCCATTCTATTACTGATCCCTTTGGGGTGTCTCAGCTGGGACATGTAGGGATCACATAATCAAGCCCTGCTCTTTTTGGAGTATATGTCCAGGAGGAGTTAGCTCAGATCTCTGTACACATTTTTCTCAGTAACTTTTTGAATGCCAATTCTGACCTCATTTTATACAGGTCTGAAAGTAGTCTGCAGTGGGACAATTTTTTTCCTTGCATTTTTCTGTAAATAGGAAGACTGAGTTTAATAATTCAAGTTGAAGTCTAATGACTTACTGACTTACTCCTTAAGTAGTTAATACATACTTTTGTTTTAGTTGCTATGTTGGAATTGACACAGGGGCAAAAGTATGAGGAAATTCTATCCAACACAAAAGCTACTGTTGCTTTCTTATCCATTTCTGTATGTAACACAGATCCTTTGACATTTTAGAGCATTCAAAACTGGCCAAATTATTTCCTCCATCTTTGAAAACAAAGTGACTTTTGTGCAGAGAATGCGCATGAGAGATCTCAGCAATAAAGTTAATTTTTAGAGAAGGCTAGCTGGTAGAGGAGAACAGGAGCTTAGATGGGAAAAATCAACATAACCCATAACTATATTCTGATTAGCTGCAATGTGCACCAATGGTAAATCACTAAAAGGTCACTTACTTCTCCTTGGTGTAAGGACAAACTCCTTTTAGGATAAGCAAACACACATACACATGTATACATGCCTTCTCTTTCCCAACACAAAACCTTCCTGGAAAGGGAGAAAACCTTCACAAACAGTTTATTACAACCATTGTCAAAGAAGGGCAACTTACTTTTCTCTGCAATCGCAGCTTGCCTGGAGTTCAAAGAAACAAAGAGAAAGTCCAATTTCAGTTAAGGTTTACTTAGAGTGATTGAAAAGTAGATTATCTTTTTAACTGCCTTTAATCTATTGAGGAAAATGTCTCTCATCATTTGGCAATACTGCTTTTTCTTTGTTAGCTAACTGTTACACAAGAGTTGCACCAAAGAAGTCACATGCAAAACTCCTACAGGCTTCTGTAGGACTAGGATTTGTTTCATAAGACATAGTTAGATTTTAGCACAAACCAAACAAATACTGTTATTATTTTATGGCTGCCATTACTGTATTTAGATGGCATAATACTTACTTTAATCTCTGGAACTCAGCAAAGGCTTCATCAAATGCTTTGTAAAGAGAAAAAAACTACATTTATAGATAAATTGTCACAGGTTTAAATTTAAAATGTAGAAATAAATTTAAAATGTAGACATCATTGAAGAAATATTAATGGATGCATGCATGTATATTGTACAAATCCTAAAATGCTGAATGGTTCAACTAATAAAGGCTATCTGGCACATGGCAGATATCATATATACATATGAATGCATAAACATGCTTTTTTTCTTCTAGAAGAAAAGCTTTAAGACAAAGAAACAGCAAGAAAATAGTAGGCTGAAGTAATTTAATAAAATAGAGGAAGAAACACACAACACAATACTTAAATGATAGATTATGGCAGTGATCTCCCAAATGTTTTAATTATACACCCCTATCTAAAATTTTTTTGAGTGTACACTCAAAATATATGTATATTTATTTATAGATTATGTAGACGTTTACAGATTATGCAGCAAAGTTCTTGTATTTTCTTCCCACACCCCAGTAGTGTGCACTGGATCATCTTGCACAAACCCCACTTCAGAGACCACTGGTTTATGGAATACAAGAGTGAAGTGCTTTTCACACCTACTCTGAAGCACTACACTGATGGCTATGAGCAAACCAAACAGCACATTGTTGCCTCCTTTGTAAATTCAGGCTAAGGTGCCATCGTGTGGGAGGTCAACCTCTTCTGCTTTGAAAGGGAAGAAGAAATGTCTTTTCTCAAAAAGTGGAGATAGAGTACAGAAGGAGCAGCATGGAGATGATTATAAGGTTATTGCCCTTACACAGAGTTTGCAGACCAAAAGTGGAGCTTTAGGGATAGGAACAGCTGGGAATGGCAACTCAGAAGTTTGGAAGGAGTTAATCTTTTCCCTAAAATCTGAGAGGTCTCTCAGAGTAAAATCTTCCAACAGTCAATCCAAATAATTTTATCTATTGCACTAACAATCTTTCATCACGCTGATGAAAGGTCTTGGCATCTCTGAAGAATAAGTAGCTCTATTATATCAATCAAAGAAATACAGTGAAAAGTAAGAGAACAAAATTGTCCCTCACTTCCTCCTCAAAACATTACTTGGAAGGGAGATATACAGAAGGTATTCAGTGCTACAACTCATTTTTAAAGCTGCCAAGCAATGCTAGCAACACAAGGGGTTTTGTAAGGTAGCTCTGACACTGGACTGATGTCTCAATAGGCAAACTGTAAGCGGGTATTTGGAATAGGAAAAAGCCATTTGTAAATTATAACCCGAGAGCACAGGTCGGGGAGAACAAATGGCACTGCTCCTACAAACACTGGCAGATTGGTGGGTGCACACACAGACCCCAAAGGGTAACAGGTCTGTAGCAAGATCCTGCTGTAGATGCTCCTACCCTAGCACAGCACAGTGCCCATACACAGGTGATGTTAGCAGAGGGAATGGCCTACCTTGTCCAGAAAGATCTATTGTCTTTTTGTGTGCTGTGTTGCCATCAAAGAGTTCCATTATGTATTTGCCTTTGTCCTGTGGAGTTGGCTCATTGATCTGCAACCAGATCTGCTCCCCAGTGACACCAGTCTTCACTCGGTCTGTGAACTTAATCTGGGTATCACTGAAAAATACAAAATGTTACCTTTTCATTTTACTGGAACATAAATGGGATTTGCTTATGTAGAGCCACTGAGTACATCTGTAGTTACTAAATGATTTTCAAGATGTTATGGTATGCCATTTTGAAACTTCAGAAGTCAAATCCTTCCTAAAGCTGTGAACCAGCTGGGCAAAGTTGGTGTGACAGTGTGACAATCTTTCCCTGTTCAAGGTCCAACTCTCCTCAAAGCTTGCAGAAAGGTTATGCATCCTAATCTATGACCTGAGCCATAGAAGAACTATTCATATTTAAAAGTCACATCTCTGAAGGGTAATCCTTGAATCCTGAAATGTTCCTGTTTTTTTTTTAGCATAGGTTTATTTCTGCTTGGGCGAAACAATAGTGTAGAGGGCTGTATCTACAAAACCCCCACTTTTGTAACAAACTCTTTGCCCAGTTAGAATGTTTTCTGATGCTCTGCTATGTTTGGCACTTACAGTTAAACATGCTTTGACGTAAGTATATCTTCTCCCCCCCAAAAAAAAAAAGAAAATCAATTTCTCAGCTTCCTAGCTTAGCAGTTAATTGCCCTGGATGAGTCAAAAGATATTTGTCAAATAAGCTACTCATTTTCTTGCTATCTTTAAATTGATATCTTTGAATGTACTGGAGGGAAAAATAATTTTTTCTAGATTATTTTGGCACACTTCAAGATGAAACAAGTTTCTAAAAATTAAATAGAGAAAAGAGAGAGAGAAAGAGAGAGGGAAAAAACTCCCATAATACCTCATATTCACTTACACTTATTTGAAATACTTAGGATATTTGGTGATACGGGGTCAAAATGAATGACAAGAAACAACCAGGCCTCAAACTGCTTTATTTCTCTGACAGGGTGCTGGTTAGCATCAGTGCCAATAATTACAGCCAGCCTGCTACAGCACATTCTGGGTATTCTGTGCCTCATTTACATGAGTTTTATTGAGAGATCAGTAATTCAGATTCCATCCAAAGAGACTAACTACTACCATGTCCACAGACATGACAAGAACAGTAATAATAGATTTAAGCAATCTAAATTGTTTATTTCTCAGGCTTTTCCAGTGCATGCTATATGTGCTGGTTGAGAACTCAAAGAACATCAAATCATTTGGATGTGCAACTCCCATTAATTTTGTGGGGAACTGGACACTAGAATTCTTTTTAAAAATCTCAGTTCTTCTGTCTGTCTTGGTTAGATTTGTAGTGCTTTCAGGAGGGGCTGTCTGGATTTTACTGCCCCAGGCACTCACTGAAATTTGCTTTGCCTTCTAAAAATGAAGCCATACATTAAGAGGACGTGCCTGCTTGTCCCACTTCCAGTGAATTGTGTCTTCTAGAAAAGCAGACCTCCAGGGTAGGTATTTTGGGACGGTCTCTCAGGTTATATTTGCATCACTCCTTAAAATTGAGTCAGGGAAAGATGTAGCTCCCATCGGGGAGGTGGTAAGTGCTCTGAAGCAACATGGTCCTGACAGCATCCCATGGCATGGAACTATCTGTTCCATAAGAGAACCAACAGGAGGGCCTGGCACCACTAACACCCGACTCTCGTACTGGTTTCATATGAATGTAATTGACTGAAACTAACTTATATGAGATAAGGACTCATGAGATGTGAGAACAAACTTAGGCCTCACCTCTCTCACACAACCAGTTTCTTTCTGAATCTATAAAAGCAAAATTGCACTGAGTTTTGCCAAGATTTTGTTTACTTACTTGTGCACCCAGCCTACTCTCAAATCTTCCACATAATAAGTAACGTAGGAGTAGAGTCTGATACCCTCAGCTGTGCTCTGGATTTTCAGGTCTGTTGCAGATAAAGCTGAAAGAAGAGCAAATGGTTTTATGCAGCCATGCAGCCATTCATTGAGTGCCAGAATGAGTCATTCATTCGAAAAGAGAATTAAGTACTTACCAATCCTTCGGCATACTTCATTCATCAGATCTGCAAAAGCTGTGGAAATAAAATCTGGAGACTAAGACTCTATGTCTGCAGTTCAAGCACAGTCAATGATAGGACAAGTACTGGCTCTGAAATATGCTCCCCAGTAGGTTTGAAAGAGCAATCAGACCTACCTTTTAAAGCATATTAGAAATCTTAGTAATGCAGAAATGTAGCCTGTTATTTCAGAGTTTCCAGACTTTATTTAAATACAGCCTTGGAGAATAATGCTGCAGCTGAACAAAACTATTTTTTTTTAAATGATACTATTCAGCTGGAATGCTAACCCATCTATATACATTCTAAAGGATAGGATTTTCCTCTATTTGCTTGGAAACAAGTGAAATGTTAAAAATACAGTAAATGCAATAAATGTGAAAGCCCCTAAATAAATGGGAAAACATAATAAAAATGTGAAAGTTTTAAAAATTATCTACTTCTGTAATTTTTCTTCTATACTTGTAGATTTACTGATGTCCCTCTGAGGAAACCTGTTATTTTGCTTAGCGTTAGTCATCATGCTCCCAAAATTATACAGAACCCAGATGAAATAAGCTGTATTCAAATGTTATTTGGACTTAAAAATCTCAGCTTTTCTAATTAGATGATCTTGTACACAGGAGGAACAAAGCCACAAGAAGGTGACGTGCAGATGCCTGTACTACCCCAAACCCACTTCAGTCAGGCTGTCAGCTGGTGTAGCTGAGAGCATTGAGACTCTGACCTGTGTCCTTAAGCTTCAGCTCACTGGAGTCCTTTCCTCTGTCATCCTTCAGTATGACTTCATAAGTGCCAGCATCTTTCTTAGAAAACTGCAATATTGTAACAGTAAAATCAGTTTTCAGAACAAGTACTGTAGAAAAATCTAGATTTTACTTCTGAACCCAGCTGATATCCTGTCCCTGTCCCCGGGGAGGTACCTGATGCCTGGGGCTGGAGCTGCCCCTGTGCTTCCAAGGTGCCCTGCTCCTAACTGGGATGGCGGGATGGGCTTTGGCAGGTGCATCATGGTATGCAGGACCTTGTCCCCCTCCCACATCTGCTGCAAGGCTGGGTAAGCACCAGACTCCTGTGGTGACTCTGAGAGGGTGGTCCTCTGAAAGCCTGAGTGACATGCACTTTCCAAATGCTATTCAAAATGGAAATGTGGTCTCAATCTGCTTCTCAACTGATATGCAAAGGAAGTGACAAGCTTATTATCTCTTCAGTCATCATTTCCTGAAAACCCGAACAAGCAGTTACAGACAGACATTTTCTTTAGCTAAAACACAGACGCCTTGTGAGTTTTTCCATTTTTAAAACCCACTTCCTTTTTCAATTGTTCTGCTGGAGTATCAGATTAGATCATATCATTCATCTGAGTTCAGAGCACTAACTTCAGCTGAGGGCTAATGAGGACAGTCACTCACCTCTGATATCAGCAGAGTACACACTCCATCCTTAAAGTCATGTTCTTCATCTACCATTATCTCCCTGTCATCTTTGTACCATACAATGTGTGTTTCCTTCTTAATATTAGCCACCTAAGATGGATGAAAACCACATCGCAATTATTCTCTTCATTTGAGCAGGAGAACTCAGCCTCACAGGGGTTAGCCTGTTCAGGTCTCTCATAAAAGAATAGCAAGTGTTACAACTTGGTTGCAGTGAATTATTGCAAGCCTCCATTTTAAAATGAGGGAGGCAAGAGGGAAAACAGCAGGGATGAAAAGAGAGACAAAAGGAGCTCAGGGAAACAGTGGATCCTGCTCAGGGTATTTCTGCACACATAAACAGGCCAAAAATGAGAAAGCTACAGGATTTATAAAAACTTGCTATTCCTATTCCGGTGCCTTTCCCTGAGTGGGTAGCTGACAGACCTGAAAAGTTCAAGCTATTTTCCAATGTATTTTGTTACACATAATGAGCTGTTATCTCAGCATGATTACCCTTCAGAGACTCTGTCACTATCCAATATGCAGTTGGGAGTACAAAAGCAAAGGGTGTGTCTTTAGTCCCTTCCCACCCTCACCATCTAAGTAGTGGTAGGTCAAAGTGCTTTGAACATTGCACTTGGTTTTCTTTGTCCCTTACCTTACATTTCAGCATCACGTTACACTCATCGGTAACTTCCCATCCCAGTTTATCCACGAAATGAGGACCTGTTTAAAGTTACGCATATGTTTTTAAAGGTCACATCAATGGTATTTGGTATAAAACCAAAGACAGACGTGTTTTACTTGACAGGAATAGTTATATTTTAATATAATTTTATTTTTCTTATTTCTCCTTCAGAAGGTAAATAAACATGTAACAGAATAAAACTCATCTATTTCAAATTAGCATATAAAAGTATAATCAAACTCTTAGCAGGCTAACACGTGATTCTTATGAATAATCATATTATCACCTTGTTTCCTCTGCCAGTCTTTTCTCTGGAAATCTGCTTCATCCCGTAGCTTCTTGAATACTAGGAATTAAAACCAGTAAGAAATAAAAGGTTAAACTTCATGTGCCATTTGTAGGGTGCTGAATGTTGCTGTAACAGTTAGGAGCAACTCTGTCCCTTGTATGTCAATGAGCATCCAGCCACGGGGTTAGGTTTTCACAGGAAATTTCAGAGTGTCAGAAGCTGATTACAGCTAACTCAACTTTCCCAGCTACTTGCAGTTGTCAAGAGTTTAATGTGTCCTGTCTGATGATGTGCAATCCCCAGTCATACAGCTACTTTCCGCTCCTGGTAGGAAGGCAAATGAGCGGCAGCAGTGTCAGCAGCCGCTTGAGCTCTAACAGGTGCAGCTGCTTGTTCTCGGCTGAATGGGCTTTTTACATGGGAAATTTTCATTCCACCCATGGAAAAGCTAACCATGACATGCTGCAATATTTTGCATTTCTGTAACAATTCCCCTTTCTCCCATCACTTTAAAAATTTCAGTTCACACGCAAGCCCTGTCCTGTGTGAGGCAGACAAAATTGTGACATAAAAAACCTGGAAGATCTACTGATATTTAAAACAGTGGAAAGTGAAGGTGACAACTGAGGTAACCTCCGTATAATTTTTCCAACCCACTGCATAATACAGATTGGCCTACCATCACCAATGAGGACAAGGCTAGATTGATTGGTTGCTTTTCCATCCTGCAGTTGGAAAGTGTAGGTGCCTTCATCCTTGTCCTCAAGTTTATCCATAATCATTTCAATAAGGCCAGTCTTCTGGTCCACCTTCATTTTGTATTTCTTCAGGAGTTGAAAGTAAAACAACAGTTAATGTATATCAGAGACAGAAAATATTTGTGAATATTTGCATATCTATAGATGAAATTCAGTTTTCTTAATTCAGATACCCATTTGTTCAGAGTCCCACTGTCTCTAGTTCCAGCTAAATAAATCTATTCAAGGTGAAGCCTATTTATTGATGGTGTACAAGCATGTGACATCTTTGTTGTACAGTGAGTACTGTGTCCTTTTTCATTTGAAAGGTTTAGATTTGCATGTCTTCAGAATAACTCTTTCTTTGAGGATGATTATATTTGATAAGGTTTTATGTAGAATGTGCCATCTCTGCCTTCTCTCTGATGTCAGTGTTACAACAAAAACAGGCCATGTCCTGTCTTTGGGAGTAACAAAGTTTGCTGCTGGAAACAACTGCTTGGGAATTTTTCTGTGGTGTAATAAATTCCTCCAAACAACAAAAGAAGGTGAGAACCAAGCACAAGGGTATTCTAGAGCCATAGATGAAGGAGATAGGATGGATCTGGGTTACTGTAGTGATTCCTTGAAACCACAGTAGCTGCTTACCTGGGGCTACTTTATTGCAGGAACAGCTGTGATCCCCACTAGTTAGCAGAACATGTGGTACTCAGGTGGCAGGACGGCATTTAACTTCCCTGTATAAACTGCATCCAGTAGAATTGATCTGGAGCTCAGAACTACAGACAAAATCTATCTATTTATGCTTTCCATGACTTATGTTATTTCTTATGAAAATGCATTAGTGTGGAATAGTAGTTGGAAGTATATTGGAGACAGAGACACTAATACTCATTGATACTCATAAAAATGCAAACACATCTAAGCAGTGAAAAGGCTTACCTCTCCATTGAAAATCTCCTTATCATTAAACACAAAGTTGGCCTTTGCATTGCCAGACAGTTTTTCAGCTTGCAACCAGAATCTCACTTCTCCTTTTTCCAAAATTTCCACTGCCAACTCAGAGGTAAGTGGGACAGCTACAAAGAAGAAAAAAAAGAATGAGGCATATATTTTGCCAGTGCCCCAATAACTGTTTTCTTCTACAATCAGAAAGCCACTTATTCTTTCATACTTGGATACTATATGCAAGGTAACTAGCTTATGATGGCTTTTCATATAGACAGAATGTCTCTCCACCCACATATATCTGTTATAGGATGACAGATAAGATTTAATCTTTTGATCCTTCAATCATAAGGTCTGTACAAACCAAAAGTGTTCAGCATTTGAGTTATGCTCCATTCTAATACAAGGCTATTTCAAAGTTAAACAGCAAGTATCTGTGCAGCACAATATTAGTTCTGTATGGTGCAGACCCATGTTTAATGAGTTGCCTAACAATATTACTGTAAGACAGTGAAGTGACTCAGAGGAAAAAGGAAACAACCCCAAAGCACAAAGCCAGATCAGAAAGTCAGCTGAGCTGCAGATTGGGAGATTTCTGCAAGCACTCTGACCCTTTGCTGAGTGGAACCTCCATCTCCAGGATCACCAAGTATCAAAATACACCCTCGGTCTTCCCAGTACATTTTGTTTTCCTATGGATAATGGAAATCCTCCGCATATAAACCAATTCATTGTTTTAACAGGGGAAAAAAAAACGTAAAAATCATGTACTATTACCATAGGTAATATTAGTATCTTTTTTTTTTAAATATTTCCTTGTTCTTGTTAGTAACAGTCCTCAGCTTGCTTTCACTTTAACTTTTCTTTAGGATACCATGATCAGCAACATTAAGCATGGGCATTTAGACTCTGATATTGGGGCATATTGCTCATTTTATTGGCTTCCGCCACTTTATCTGTCTCAGTGGATGCTCAGATTCTCAAGACAAGTCGTACTCTTGGGATTACGTGTGCTGCATGTGAACTCTTCCCCCAATCTCTGCTTTCTCAGCAGTGTAAAGTCTGCAGTGCCAGGGTGTAGCAGGGAACAGCTGAGGGCAATGTACAAACACGTTGCTAAACATGTGATGATATAGTTTGGTGATAGTGTAAAGACACACCTCCTCCCAGAGGGATCCCAGGGCAGGGTGGTTTCTTTAGCACCATGCATGCAAAGACTCGGTTACAGTAGCAGAGGACTGGGACTGAAGTAGTGTCTAATTTCTCTCATCTTTATATTTGCACTGTCCTAAATGACTGAAGTGCCTTCTGGAGCACTACTGCCATCCCACCCCAATGCCAAACAAACTTAGGGGGTGAGGACCCCTCGCCTCCTTCTTTCCCATCCTCATGGCTTCTCCTTCCCACACCTGCATGTATGCTTTTGGTGCCTAAGTTGCACGGGATCTGTCTCTGGTGAAAATAAGGCTTCTAGGAGGTGAGGCAACAGTTACAGGGAAGCAAAGATAATTACAAAAAAGACACAGGCTTAACCAGAGAGGGGAGAGCCTGGAGGGGCAGCATTACCACGAGGGAGCGGGGCGAAGACAACCCCACAGGAGTGTGCCCCAGCCATGCGAATGGTCTGTGTGAGCTTTCCTCACCCATTTTATCCCTTTGTATGTAAGGAACAGAAGGAATCTCAGGGCTTGCATAATTTCTCAAAACAAAGTGACTGAAATGCACAGGAAGCAAGTGGGAGTGTGAATAGACATCAGGCTGCACTGCTTTTGTCTCACTGTCAGCTCTACAGCAATTTTAAACCCCCACTTGGCTTGCCTGTAATTAACTAAGAATATCTTAGTCTAACATGGAAGAGAGGAAAGTATCTCAGAAGCTGTTAAATAAAGGGCTGAAAGGATGCAAAAGGATTCTTTTTGGGGTGGAAAGGCTGTTTGCTCCTCAGCCCAAAAGAACTGGACAAATCTGCTTTACAGTCTGCCACAAGCAGAAGTCTTATTTTAAAATATTTCCATAAGCACCAACTGGCAGCTACTTTAGTCATTTTCCAGCCATCATGCTTACAAGGTTTTACATCCTATTTCTATAGCATCACAAATTACTGCCAGCACTTGACAGGGAGCCCTTGGGCAGTTAATTGCAGAGTTAGAAAAATTTATTTTTACCTAGCACCAATGCACTATTGCACCCAAACATGGCTGTGTTCTCTAAGGCTGCATTATTGAAACAATGGAGTTACTGGCTTCAGGTGTTTCTAAGCAGAATTCACCATTAATTGCTGTTCAGAAGTACAAACAAGGCAACGTGCAAGAGCTCATGTTGAATTAGAAGTGCCTAGCAACTAATTTTGGTTTTTAAGAATTTGGATAATCCTCAAGCAGATTATCTGGAGATATGACTAAGATTTCATGTTGATCCAGAGAAGCTCATTATTATTTTTCTAACCTCATAGGCATAGTCAGCTGAATCTCAACCCCTATTTGTAATATATATATGTATTTATTTTAAGTGCCCACACGGCCTGGAGAGGGCAAAGCAAGTAAGACAGTTTCCTCCTTAAGGATACTTTCTGCAGTGATCTCCCTTTCTGCCTGTGCCTTCTGGAAGCTCATGCACAACTATACGTGTGCTGTTACCTAATACAGTGCAAAAAAGATGACATGATCTGAGGAGCTTATTTTGTGACATTAGTTGTGAACACAAAGAGTGGAAGAGCCCTCAGAAGGGAAGGGTCAGGGAAAGTGAGGTCATGCGGCAGCAGTAAGGTTTTGCGATGACTAACTTTCGGTGTCAAAATATAATTAGGTGGAAATAATTGGGAGGAGCAGGAGTAAACAAGAGGATGTTTAGGCTATCATTAAGCTGTCAAAAGGTGATACAATATGTTGAGAAGAGTAGAGCGGATATGAAAAAGATGCAGAAGGAAATGAATAAGAGAGATGATGTGAGCAAAAAGGCCATTTCTGCAGCCAAGACTGAGCTGAGAGGTGCGGTGTGGGCTGAGTTGGGAGAGGTGTCAGCAATGCATACACAAATCTGAAGATGTTAAAACGAGTTTCAGGATCTTGAACAGAAAAAAAGAGAATGTAGTGGGAGAAGATGAAACGAGGTTTAGGTCTCATCTCGTGTGCAATAGGATTCATTATACAATCCAATATTATTTTTTCCCTGTTTATAAAAGTCTCACTCCAATGAAAATAACTGAGTTTTGCTACTACCAGGATATCGTAAAGGTATGGGAGGTCTGTGGAATTGACAAAAATACTATCTAAAGTTGCAGGAAGAATGTCCATATTGCCAAATGCTAAGGAAAGAGGGAGTGAATGAATTTCAGAATTCTGTATATATAGATCATTACACCTGAATTTACTACACTTGCCTGCTTTGTTAAATTTAACTTATGCTAACTTCAGTTAGAGAGAAGCTAGATAATTTTTCAAATTCTGGTTTTCAAATCAGGTTAGGTATGCTGAGTAAGTATAAAAGTCTGTTCTGCAGAAGAAACAAAGCCAACATGATACTTATTTTCCAGCTGTCATATAGAGTTATTATATGCCTAGATCAGTAGCCTGCAACTGATTGGGAAGAACACCAGTGATACACAAATGTACTGAAAGAAAGAGAAAAAAATAAAGGAATCTCAGATTTTTCAGTTCAAAACCATTTTCACTTGAAATTACTATAGTGACCTCCCTACTTGATGGTGGCATGAGCTTTGTGATCATAGAATCATAGATTGGTTTGGGTTGGAAGGGGATTTTAAAGGTCATCTAGTCCAAATGCTCCCTGCAATGTGCAGGGACATCTTCAATTACATCAGGTTTGTGATATCCCACTCTCCCCTACAGACATGGGATGTACTTACTTGGGAATTGGCGTTCGTGGCTCAGAGCAAGCAGGCGTTTCATTTCTGCAAAAGACATAAAAGAAATAATGTCTGGATCTGAGAAACACAGAAGCAGCGAAAAATAGGTGTGAAAGCAAACCAGGCATGCCTAATAGGCATTGTGTCTACCTTCCTCATCAATTGTGTAACTTGATGAAACTCCATCAGTGTCTGTAACAATACAAGAGTAAATTCCCAAATCATCTTCTCCAAGATCCTTAAAGGAAGCTTTTGACCTTTAGGGGGAAAAAAAAGCATTTTGATAAAAAGGTGAGATCAATCTGAACCAAACCCCTCCTTTATGTCTAAAACACCAGATAAAAATAGTCTTGTATTAGCTTTTGCTCTGACTGAACAAGCAAATGCACGGCTCGGGCGACTATAAACTAGGGTAGGTCCTGTGTGTACAAATGGAGATAGCACCAAAAAAAAGAGAGTGCTGTCAAGTCTTTGATGACCCTAGAAGGATACTCTAAGTACAGGTCGATTCAATTTCCATATGCAACACTGTAACTGTGGTGAGTCCCCTTTTCTTTCAGTATGGTTTTTACATCACTAGAAGAGCACACAGGCCCTTCAAGGGCTGAACCTGTGCATTCGCTGTGCCTTCCTCTGTGAGAAGCCTGAAGAAACAGAATGGGCTTGGAGACCATAATGTAAATTGCTAAAGTGGGCCATGGTGATGCCATGAGAAGAAAGCCCTGCTTACTGCAGCAGCTCCAAAGATTACAGCTGTGTTACATGGCAAAAGCATTTTGCAAGCAGCCAGATAATTTTATTATTTGGAGATTTAAATAATAGCCATAGCAATAATAATAATAATCTGTCTTGACTGACAGGTTATAAGATGACAGAGCACAGATTTTCTCTCCCCACGCCTAAACATAACTAAATTCCCCAAAGAGGAGGTCTGACTTATTCTGTGTGATCTACAATTTCCAAACAGTCTGCATATGGACTTGCTGGAGAACAGCATACTCAGGAATTAGCCTCCAAGTAAGAGGCGGGTTTAGCTCTTAGTGAGGTCATACATCAAAAGGATGGATTTCTGTGACTGTCTAGATCTCTCAAACATGAGACTATGGCTTCCCTTGGGAGTTCTTACTTTCCGCCTTTGGTATCGATGTTCAGTCGAGAGTCATCCTCAATTGGTTCGTAATTCTTGGACCAAACAAACTTAGAGTCTGGAGACATCTGATCACATTCGAAGTTCAAGGAAATGACTCCATTGTCATCTACATCAACCACAATTTCCTTGGTTCCTTAAAGAGATGAACAAGGCAATTCCAGTTTCTCAGAGAAGCCAGCAATATAGATATACATAGATATCATTCATAGGGTTGATTAAGCAGATCCTTGCCATTTTCTCAGCTGGCACGTAAATTGCTGCACTCATTGGTCCTTGATTCACAAGAACAGTTCTTTTTCTAGTCCACAGATTAAAAACCATTATAAATCAACTGATTTATTTGAGCAAGTCTAAGCATCTAAGCACACATGAGAGTTATGATATTTGCTATGAAAAAAACTGAAGGAGGAAAAAACCCCAAGCCTCTAAATCCACTAAATGTTTGAAATATTAAATAGAAATATTTTATGTACTAGGGGGTAGTTAGATCTTTCGTTATGCAGCATGAATTTCCTATTCTCTAATAAGCTAAAAGCAATAAAGGGAAAAACGTGTGCAAATGTGGGTGTTTGAAGAGGTGCAGTAGGTAGAAGAGGAAGCAGTTGAGTCGCCCCAGCAGTGCACACTTGTGTGACTGAGGCACATTTTCAGTGACACTGGCTTTACTCCAGGAGGTTGGTTTAATTGCTGTGCTTGGCATCCGGCCCTGCCACCGTCTGCACCATTAATCCTGGGCCCACAAAGGGAGTGAATATTTGCAATTAGCTGCTTAAGTCACCCACCCTGTTTTGCCAGTACCTACAGTTCTTGAGCTGGATATGGTGACCCATTTTGTCCTTTAAAAGGCGCTGGGGGAGAAGTCCATGTCAGAAACCTGAAGGCATCTCTATCCTGCTCACTCTCACCCCAGTGAAGCTGAGGGAATTTCATCTGGGATTTGGGTAACTGGGCGAGCTCATCATCTGTGGCGTTAACATTCATTTCAACAACTTGTCTGAGAATGTCAGGGAGAGCGTGTGCACTGAGAGGTGCTGGAGAACATCCAACCTCCCTTTCTGAACAGCTCTGAACTGGATCTTGCATCTGAATAGGGCACTCATGTCCTATTACTTGGGCTAAGACAATTCTGGACTGCCCAGAATGCCAATGACACAGTTTCTTCATAAAGTATTGTACCTTAAAGGCAAGAGCCTTATTCTTGACATTGAGATTAAATGCTTTATTTCCTAATGACCCTCAAGCATACAAGGAGATTTCTGTGTTTCATCATCCTAATACTATACACATCTTTTCCAGCATTGTGAGCAGCTTCTGTAATAAGAATTGGCGTACATGCAGCTTTCTTAGTCTTATAATTTGCCAAAAGTGTTTAATGGAAGATGAGATTAATATTCCCATTTTGATACCGTTGATAACCAGCCCTTGCAGTAGTGAAGCACATTAAGTACCAATATGTAATAAATGAAGTCTAAGGTCTACAAATATTTTATTAGGCAGCAGCATATTTGAAATTTTTTTATAATTTAATTTATTATATGCAAAATTCATCACTTGAAATTTCATTAGTGTTTACTTTCCTGTAGATCATTAGCCATATGAATCTTTTGATGGCATTTTATGTGACATACAAAGAATTACAGCCATAAGGTTCACTTGAATAGTAGAATCTTTTATATTTGTTTTAAAGTATTCTCATTACAATAACAATGCATAGCTTTTATTTCCAGAAGTGATGATGGAATTTACCTCTAATATTTATATGATTTAAAAAAAATTCTGTCTAAATTACTGACTGGAACTGGAGACCTCTCTCCACCTATCCTGCAAAGTGGAGCTGAAGAAGCTGCCATAGTACTAGTAGTCTTAATTTCTCTCCTCTAGATAGCTTGTGGGTTTCAACATATCATCCAGAGCTTCTCTTTAAGTCACAATAAGAAATAAAATACTTAGATGTCATATCAAAACTTCATTTATCTGAGCTTTTTTTATTGCATCGACAGGAACAAATTACCATGAACATAAAGCAGACATCTTTAAAACACTAAAATTAGTGGCATAATTTTGGATATGGGTAGTCAGAAAAGTTGAATGGGATAGGGTTTCATTAATTTCTGAGGTTCAAGCCCTTCTCAAGTGACTGATGCAGGGTGAGGATCTAATTTTGCTTTATACCAAGATACACAAGGACTAAGTTGCAGTCTACTCTTGGATTTCCCTTGCTTCCTGTGAGATCCACACACACTGAAGTGCTTTTGTCAAAAGACAAAGTTACAGCTCAAAAGTATCCTGGATTGGTATTTGTTTATGTGGTTGCGTTTTTTCATTTAATTTTAGAAGATAACTTTAAAAATTAAATGTGGTTTCCAAAGAGAAGAAGGTGGATGGAAAGTATCATATCAGTATATTTACGCATTTCATTGGATAAAGACAACTGGTAGCATTTGTATGAAAGTAAGTATTTTCATTCAGGATATTATTTGCTTACATTCTTTGATTGGAAAGCTCAGTTGTCTTCTGATTCTACACATTTGCCAAAAGTAGAATTCCAGCAAGAATTGTCTAGAGAGATTTGACAATGTTTTGTCTCCATCCAAGATGTTAATGAAGGGATCATTCATTGGGCAACACCAAAAGACTTGTGGTAATTTTAAAAAAATGATATGATTGTTCTTGAAATTAGTGTGGTTTGAATGAGAAAGGTGGAAGCCTTCCCAAGAGACTGCTTTCTGAAATAATTGTTTTTAATAAGCTTTTTGTCCTTTCTTAATACCTCTGAGAAGCTTAGTTTGGTGGATGCTGTACCAGCAGATCTCAGTTCAAAATATGGGTCAAGTAGATTTGTACAAGTAAACCATTTTTAGCTTCCCTGAGATTTTCACTGGGCCAAATCCTGACTTTCTGGTGGTCCCTCAGATGTTACACTTATGAACCTCCCTTCTCTAATGGTGAGATCTGTAAATGAAACGCTCTGCTCAAGTTCATATTGCCAGGTGGACATGCACCTCACCTGAGTGAACACTGAAAACAATGTACAGTTTTTTTTGGTCATGATGGTCATCTTCACAAGAGTTTATGTTCATATTTTTTTAATTGCAGTGGCGTGGCCAATCCTTTATTTAGTACACTTGAAGGTTGTTATCATCACAACTTTTGATAGAAAGTATGACACATAGATATTAATCCTCAATGAAAATGGATTAATAAAACCAAAAGTTTAGTACTAATAGTGGTTTCATTCTCTTTTTAGAAGAGGTTGCTGTATATAAGCTGTTTTCAAGAATAAGTTTCTAAGTTTTGCCTTACTCCACTTGCAGGTAATGGAAATAGCCCTCGTGCTTCAGCAGCCTTATAGATCTGAAATTATGACTCTTGTATTTTTCAAAGATCTTGTTCCAAACCCTTCTTACTCACACACTTGCCCTTTTTATCGTCCTTGTATCCCAATCTTACACATTTTCAGCTAACCATCTGCTTATTCTAGTACCTTCTTCCTAGCCTCACTAGCAGTCACCCCAATCTCCCCACTTGGAGTGTTCCAGTTCTTTTACACCCCCAGCTTCAGACCTCCTTATTCAGATTTTTTGACTTACAGCCTCACTGAGAGCTAACTCAATGCTTGTTAGAATTTTTGCTGCCGTGGCCATAAGGACCAAGCATCTAGGAGAGCTGGGCTAGTGCCATTGTGCGAACAGAAGATATGAAAATGGGTCTGGTGAAAATGTCAGAAACAGGGAAAGCATCTCAGGGAAATGCTCCCAAGGCATCTGGGGTGGGAGTAGGATCTGGTGATCGCTGGTGATGTCTGCTCAATGCCTCACAACACCTCACAGTCAATAGCATCCCAAATAAATCCTGCCTATTTCTCCAGGCCGGAGCAGACATCTGCCTTACTGTTTAGGCAGAGTAGGCAGCGGTTTGTTCAGACAGCTACCTCCTTTGTCTGTGCCCATGAACTGCTACTAATGGTCCCTGTGTCCAGCTGTCCCTGGCCCCTGTGCTGTCCTGTCTGCCCACTGCCTGCCCTCCTTCTTGCTCTTAGAAACCTTCGCAGGCAAGATCAGGTATGAGAGTCTGCAGGTGTAGGAAGGGAACTTGTCAGAGGAAAAGAGTGTGTACCATGGATCCAGGTTGGGTTGTACTCCCGCACTTTCTTACATCATACTAACCTTATACTAGATTTGGTTAAAATATCTGGGAATTTGTTCTTGCACCTCATAGAACTCTGCACTTCTAAAATCTATAGATTAATAAGCCACAAGCCCGTACTTGTGTTTTCTGTTAGGGACTTAGTGACAAAAAAAGTTGTTGTCTCTGACCAAAGTCACCTAAGTTGCTTGTATAGCTAAATGGAACCCAGGGGTTTCCTGAAGTTCCAGGTATGGAGATTCTGCCTTTGCACTGGTTCCTGTGTTTTTTTTCTGGCGTTACAGACATGATGGAGCCAGCCTTTGAGGATGACTCCAGCAAACAGTTGCACTTGAATTCCTACTGAAAGTGGTCTCCAAAGTGACTTCATTGTGTTTTGAAGCCTTTATTTTAAAGACCAAGGGAAAAAAATAATTTCTTTTACCCTCTCCTGAGGCACATTACATACAAAAAGGAGAATGATAAAGCATAAACAATGAGTTTTAATATAGGAAGGGCAAAATCTACATCTGTAGTTTATTGTTTGGTTGAACTGATTTTAGTGGGTCCTCTGCTTATTTTTCTATAGATACATGCAAATCTTAACACTTTATTGTTCTTTATATTCCTGAGCCTGTAGTTACAGTAAGAAAATCAGTTCTGACCTTAAAATATACCAGACAAGAAACTAACCCTCAACTCATATCTTGCTTTGTAAAACAGCTTGACCTGAGAGAGGTCAGGCTGTTGGCATGTAGCTTGCAGGTGAACACATCACACAAATAGGAACCTGTGTAAATACAACGAAAAAGAGGAAGTATTTCTAACAAACCTGGTCGTGTTTCAGCTAAAACAGCATCCGTGACATCTGATGGTTTCCCAACACCAGCCTGGTTTGTTGCCCGCACACGAAACACGTAACTCGCACCTTGTGTTAGGCCATCAATCTGGAGGAACCAAATATACGTACACAATGGGTTGCAAAAGACTGATTTTAATTTCATGCTTATAAAGATCAGTCTGGATACTTGACAATTATATTTCCTTTCTTGTTTTGTTTCATTGATTTTCCAGTTCTCTCTTTTTTTTTCAATTCCAGAGTGACATGACTAATCTGTATGACTTGCTCCTTCCCTGTGTGCATAGCTAACATTCAGACAGCGTCATTACTGTCATTGACTTTTTTGCAAAAGGAGCATTGGTTTTGAACAGGGTGTTTTCAACTCTTGTACATTGACCTCTGAAACATCACAGTCTTTTACTGCAGATAAATGCTGACTTTTAAAAATGAAATTATCAGGATAATAAGTGTCAGCCACACCTATTTAGAAACAGGAGGGCATTTAATTGTACAGATTTGGTTGTTGTGACTTGAGGAATTATACTGACATTATATCACCTGTGAATACTCCTTTAAAATATACATGAAAGGATCATGTTTTAAAGTGAGTTGTCTTTCAAATACTCTGAAAAGCATACAAATAGCAAACCTACTTCAGATGTATCTCTAGAACTGAGATACTGATGTTCCCTTATTTAAAAGCCATTCCACAAAATTATGTAGCATAATAGTGCAAAAAGCTTGAGTTTAACTTGTTGTGAAATGTGAAGAGAGGGTACTTTGTATTAGAAAGAATCACTTGCCACATTATCAAAGTATCTGGTTTTGTATAGTGATACCCTCTGAGCCAGCAAATGCTACAGATGCCTCCTGTGTTACAAGGATGGTATTTGGTTTTAGCAGTGCTTTCTTTTATTTTTAGGCTTGTCATACCAGTTTGTGTTCTGAGTTACCATCTTGTCTGTCTATACAGCTGTTACATGTGTGTATTATTGGCCCAAAATAACTTACTAAGTATTCCATTTAGTGAAACCATGATCAGCACAGGAAGATGCTATTGAAGACTGACTTCCTCAAGGTTATACTGTTATACCAGTATTTGAATCTTTGGCTATTTACCTTCAAGTATTTCTTTTGAAGTGGCTTCTTATTGACACTTCTCCAGCATTCCTCCTTTGCTTCAGTTTCCTTCATATCAACATAATAACCAACTATGGGACTACGGCCAGTATAAACCGGTTCCTTCCACAGTAAAACCAGAGAGTCCTTCCTAACTTCTGTGCATTTGACATCATGGGGTGGCCCTGAAAGGTAAAAGTTGGAGATGTAGCATCAAAATAAATTTGAAAGGGACTAATGCATAAGACTTCAGAGATCAAAACCAGACACACATGGTGTACCCAGAACTGACAGAACATGCAGCTCCTCTGTATCATATCTAGACCTGATGTAAATGCAACCCATGCCAATTAAAAAGACTAGTCCAAAACCCAATCTGATTGGTTGAGATTGGTATCTTGATCAAATATTCATGAACTTACAAAATTGACAAATAACCTCCAAACTCTGAGAAATAAGTTAATTATTAAACTAATGTCCTGCTTGTGTAAAGGGATCTGGCCTTGAAGTGATACATTTACACAAGGGTTACAAGACCTCATTCTTCTCTGCCTTGTACCTTAGGCAGGTATTTATGTCTACTATTTAAACTAGAAAGCAAAGTGGCAGACACAGTAGAGGAACAAGAAGGAAAGATAAAAAAAAAATACAGGCTGCTTGCAAAATGCTACTGATAATAGGGATTATGTAATGCATCATTGTAAAGGTACTAAATCAAAGTGATGGAGATTCAAGCCTGGGCATGAACTTCAGGGCCCCATTGGCTCCTTTGCAAACTGACTGCATTAAGGACTTAGATCAGAGAGCACCCTTGGGCTATGTCCCACTCAGGATCCTACCGGGTACAGCAATGGTCCACTCTTCACATTTGAAGGGCTTGCTGGGTTGGGAGGGTGTTCCAACCCCAGCCAGGTTAGAAGCAGCCACCTGGAACTGGTACACCATGTTTTCCTTCAGGTTTTCTATCTGTGGGATCAATAAGATGGTACTTTGTATTGAATCTTTAGAAGAAAGTCACAATAGCAATTATTGAACGCATGAGCATGCTTTTAAGTGTGCCTGAAGATGGAAGCATTATTGATAGCTTAAGATGATAACTTGTCTTTTCCTCTTGATCAGTGATGGAGCATATTTGAGTGGTCTTAGGACGTTCAAATTGTAACCCTCTTTTCCTATTGATAGACACTTTAATAGTCAGGGAGGAAACAGGGTATTGCTCAACAATCATCTTAGTCTGCCTCGTGGTACAGAGCAAGTTCACTTAAGGCAAGAGTTGTCCTCACAGTGGGGTGAAACTCAGTCCTGGCATTGCTTTTCATTTCTAAAGCAGCTCAATAAGGTTGTAGCTAGTACTATCTCTAAATTGGGTCAAGAACTGATCACAAAAAGCAGCTGGCACAGGGTTGGTTCCAGCATCAGCAATCACTGGGATATGTCCACCAAACCCAGTAGGAATGCCATTTCTTGTGAGGGCCTGACTTACAAATCAGACTATGTCAGTGAATTTACACACAACAGTTTGTGCTAGACTAATAGGTAAGTGTACAAACAATTTTGCAGGGAAGTTTAACAGAGCTAAATAAATTTATCATCAGGGATTTAAAACCCTCTGAACAGCTATCTGTACACTGAATCAGAATTCAACCTAATGTGTCTTCGAGATTTGTTTTGGAAATACTGTCTGTACCCCCAGCAATAACAGAAGGTAATCTCTTACCCTGTATGCTCTCTCAGTAACAGCCTTAATGTTTGCCTCCTTCCACTTCCCAGGAACTCCATCAACCACTTCACGATAGTTCACATAGTAGCCAGTAATTTCAGTTCCACCAGTGACTTTAGGTTGTTTCCATCCCAATACCATTGAGTCACGAACACTCTCAAGTACCATGATGTCATAAGGCTGAGATGGAGCAGCTGTTTCAATGTAAATAACACATAATTAGGAATTAATATTTCAATTGTCAGACTGGCTTTCACTTACCGTATTCAGGTGGCTCCCACCCTGCATTTCCTAATTAGGACAATATTTATGTGCTCAAGGGAAGTTTCTGGAGCTGGAATAAGAAATGTAGGATAAAAGCTTTCACAAACCAAATGCAGAAGTCCAAACTGCATAGGAATTACTTTTCAGGATCCCCTGTTTTTGAAAAGCAAGATGATGCATAGTGAAAGAATGTGTTGCAATTGCAGCTCTGATGCAAGTGATTAGGACTCACTGTAATATTGTGAAAAATGAGGAATTGAAACTATCATTACAGGAAAAGTAAAAAAAATTGGAGATGCAATGATTTGTTTTCTTTTGCAGAAACCAAGCCTTTTTTCACACATACAGTATGCATTGTAGTTCCTTTTCTTTTCTAAATAGTCTTGCATTCTTCTCTCCCAAGAATGGACTTTATCTTTTTCTTTTTAATTTTTACACTGTGCAAATTTTATCATTGCACCCATCACATAAGCTTACCTTAGTGGAAGACAGTGTGATCATAGGCACTGTAGACTGACCAGAAATGGAACATGTCTGTTACTTCAACTTACATTAAAAAATGCATGGCATAATCCTCCGTCTTAGATTTTTTTATAATAATGCAGAAATCATTCACTTAATCCCAACCCGATTTCTTATATTTCTTCTGTATCTAGTGGAGAAATGGTTGCCTGCACCCAATATGTTATGCACCAGTGAAAAGTCCTACTTGTGACCCCTAAGTCCTACTTTGGATGGAAATCGCACATCATATATGTTTCCTTTTGTCTTCAATGTTTTATATCAGTGTCATATAGCCCCAGGTGCCTCTACTTTTTTTTCTGTTCAACATTTTGCACAAGCTTTTTGAGTCTCATTTCAGAGGCCTGGGGAGGAGTTCAGTTCATTGGCTGGGTGCCAGGATGAAATTCAAGCCCCACATTTCTTGGGCACAATGGGTGCCTAGGTGCTGAAAACATAAAACATGATTTTGTACATGTGCCTATAACTTTACAGGTTTTCCTCCTTACATGTTGCTATCAGTCAGACATAGAACACAGCATTCAGAGTGTGTCAGAGATAAGCTGTAGCTTAGGCATAAATCCACAAAGGATCTTCATATATCCTAACAGAACACAGATTTTCATGCTTACCGCCGTAATCAGATTTTGTTTTCTGCCCACATATATAACCCAGGGACTAGGTAACCAGACTCCTAACAAATTACTGAAGGGATCTAGAAATAATATAGTATCTCGGATACATTAAAATGTAGTCAAACAAGCCATTAAATCACTAAACATATTTATATGTTTCACTTCCAGTAACCACTAAATTTATAAAGTGGTCTCCGATACCATTATATGCATAATGATCTTAATGGAGAGTTGAGCACATAATTGATGGGCCTGATGAAGGATGCATCACCATGGAGCATGTCCGCTTGAGGTATGGATGAACAGAGGTTACAGCAGTCTGAAGTGGATGTACCAAAGCAGTGAAATCTATTTATTTTATTAATTCTCACCTGTATCTTTCTTCTTTCTGACTTTTTCCACTGTCAAAAGATCCCCGGGTCGAGACTTACTTGCCTGCTTAGCAGCAACTTTTTGTGGTGCAGGTGCATCCTTAACCATTTCTCTCATGTTACAGTCTCCTGTACTCCCCAGTTTGTCACAGCTACTGGGTAGTGTGTCTCTATTAAATTTAGCATTGCATTTTAGCAAAGCATCTGTGTCAAAGATAGGCTGGGAGGTCTCATGCATGCCTTCCCAGCTGGTACTGTGGTCTGTTAGTCCACCAGCTTTACCACTCTGTTCAGGACACACACCATGAAGCAATCCTCCCCCTATAATTGCCAGAAAACAGCAAAGACATTTTGAATTAGAAAACATTCTTTTTACTTCATTTAGTCAGCAGAATTAAGAAATACATACAGTGAAAAATACAGCCAAAATATGAAAAATGACTGGGTTTATGCACAAAAAGTTAAGCTTGAATTCACAAAAATTTGAAATGTATAGAATACCTCTCAGCCTGCTCACAAATAATGCTTTTTTTAATAATGTCTAGTTTTCAGAGCAGAAAAAAAAGATGAAATGTTAATAGTATTCTTAATTTGCTACAATTATTTTAGTATTAGGTCTTCCAGGTCACGTTTCTGATCCTTTAAAGATGATCTCAGAAAATTGCCTTGGGCCACATCTCTTTGCTCTAAGGTTGAGAGGTATACAGTTCTGATAAAAATGAGAGTGAGGATGTTACAGACATGCAATTCATTCTAGCCTGATGATCTCATTAATCTTTATGGATTAGTTCAGGCAGTGGCAAACAGAAATAATCCATCAGCAAAGGGAGAACACACAGGGCTATAGAAGGTTTACAAAAGACACATTGCACTGGTTACTGGGTTTAGGTATGGAAAAAATGTCTTAAAAAGTGACTGTATATAGGATGGTGTGCGTTAGAGGTGATATACCAGATTACAGAATCAGAATGACATTCCATTTTCCAGGATACCCATGAACTTGACAGTGCCCTCATACAGTGGTTCACAAGAAACACCTGAAGAAGACTGGACAGTGAAGGTGAACAGTCTACAAGAGTGCAGTGACTGTGAAACTAAGGCTGTGAGACCATAGGATCTATGGATAAATTATTATTTGTGGACAACATTGTAAACCAAAACGATTAGTTACAAATAATTGCTGAAAACTTCTTTACTTCATTAAACCCCAACATATATACCATTGAAAAGAGCAATGGAAAATGGCTTACCAATGGCTGCTTTCACCTCTATAGGCTCTGAATCCTGTGAAAATACACTGAGCCCTGCTGCATTAACAGCTCTGACTCTGAAAATGTACTTCTCGCCATTGCTGAGCCCATGGCAAATGAATCTAAAACAAATCAGTGAAGGAATACTTAGGAAGTATTATAAAGAAAAGAAAAATCCTAAGGGGGAACAGAAAACATTTCATCCATACATTATATTCTGGTTTCTGAAAACCAAGGATAAACCATGACCACAGTCCCTTATATGAAGGTCAGAGAATGCAGAAGGTATCTAAGCACTTCGTTTACCCAAAAAAGATAATGTCTAAACCCATGTCTCTTTAGACATACCATTTACCAACACTCTTTCCTTCTTAAGACTGCACAAGTTTATGTGTTACCACAGGGTCTACTTTACTTCTGCTAGTATATCAAATCTATACTTCCCAATAGAAAAATGTGAAAATCTGCAGAGGTAAGGTCTATATTTGCTTCTTGTGGGATATTTTCATTACATAAGTAAAAGACACATGTAACACAAGCTTCCATAAATCACTTCCAATCATAAATGGAAAATTGTACTATTCAAAAAAGTTACAGGGCATTTTACAAGGGTTAAATGATTTTTTTATTTCACTTTCTTGCTTCTACACATGGCACAATAATCTGAGCCAGACAAATTCTTTTATTTGAATAGGTTTTTTATGAGAATACTTAATTGTTACATTAAAAGCACCCTCATAAATTTTCTCTGGTGTCCACCCTGAAAACACAAAATTTCCCAAGACAGGAATAATTTATTTAGGAATAGACTGTGGTTTGGAAATTTAAGCTTTTTATTTAAAATAACATTTATTTTTCAATATGTATTTTGTTTTATTGCATGTGACCTTTATTTCATTCTACTTCATAATGTCATGTCTTGTACTACGAACACTGACATCATGCAATGATGTATGAAGCAAATATAATGTGGAAAACAAAATCAAAGTTTTATTTTGGGGGAAAAAGTAAAACCTGTATCAAAATTTTCAGAGCTGAATTTTCCCTACCCATTCTACTAGACTTCTCCAAATCATTTGCTTTCACAAGGATGGGTGCAGAAATCAAATTTCGGAAGACCAAAATATGCTTCATAATGCAAACTATGAACTACAGCTAATGCTTTGAGATTGACTCAACCAGAAAAACCAAGAATTAACAGAAAGGCTGTGCCTGACTGCATCATACATTATATCATAGTGACTAAAAATGCACTGATAGAAACCTATGTAGTGTAGTTTTGTCACGATATGTATTAACTCAGAACGATATTTTTATTTCTAAGGTGAATAAAGATCACATTTCATATTTTACAGTAAGCAAACAGCACAAAACTTCACCACTACTTGATATAGCTATAGTATAAATCATGGACGTATATAATGAAAGTATATAATATTGACACATAGATCTGTTGCAATATAAATGCATAAAAGAATACTAAGCAGAAACTGTTTTGCTTGTGTTCAAGAAAGTGATGATTTAGGTACTTTTGATATGCTGAGCATTTACAATGCTTTTCTAAACAACAAAGCTGGTCCAAGAGTATTTAGCAGAGCCTTACTCATTTTAATAAGGATTGTCATGGATAGCAATTACAAGTAAGCATAATCAGTCATAACAAGCAGGGACTACCTCTATATTGACATCAATCCACTTGAGACAAAGTTCTACAGTTACTGCTTCAGACTGAAGATTATATCCTTATTCAAATAAATGCAAATCTGATTTAACTTATGAAGTCTTAAATCTTGATTATTTTTTCTGACTAGAGACCAAGCTACATATCACTAAGAAATGTGAGTTTGTATCCAATATATGAGTGTTCATTAATATCTTGATTTTATTGCAAGTGAGAGAGCAATTAGAAAGCAATATTGTTAGTATGATATAGTTCATATGCCCTCCTGACAGTCTAGATACACAGTCCAGACAAGTTTACAGCAGTCTTCCAAAACAAAGCACTTTGCTTCCAAACATTATGCAGTTTAGTTTTCCACATTTGTAACTTCAGTCATTCCTCACTATACTGTTTCTTGTCAAACTGTGCAATAGTAGAACTAGTGAGCTACTTCTCTTTTCTTCACTAGCGTGTCCATGTTTTTTCCCCCTTGCCTAATTGTTTCTAAATATAAGGTAGATTTCTTTTTGGACAAGACTCACACTTTGAAGTATGTTTTTATAACTTCTTATGAGTTTCACCTGCAAGACTGATTCCAGCCTTCTGGCTACCACAGAGAGACTGCCTCTACTACTATTAATGACTGGAAAGTACATATATCCAGTAGGTCAGGAACTAGTTACCATAATTTTCATGCTTTAAAATTCATTACCTTGTGCCTTTCACTGGATTGTTGTTACATGGTTCCCAACGACCAGATCCCTCTACACTTGACTCAATGTAGTACCCAACTAGCTCCTTGGCATCTGGGGGCTCTGTCCAGGTGACAACAACTGAGGTGTCTGTATTCCTAGTTGGCATAATACGGCCAGGAGCTTTGGGAATATCTATGGGAGAGAAGCAGAAATAAATTAGTGACCAGCCAGTCAAGATTTACAAATAAAATAAGGGTGACATTCTATTCTCGATTATATTAGCATGACTAGTACCTTCAAAAAACTTCTCTGATTTAAGGACAGGATTAGTAGGCTCAAGCCTTTGGCAGTAAGATTCCTCTTTTCTCCATTGTCTGTGATTCAGGGCATTTCCCTCAAATTATATTTCATTTATTCCCTTGTACTGAATATCTGCACCAGAGATGTGATTTGGAGCCTTCTAAAAGGTAATATGTGTTAGATGCACATTGAAGATCTTGTGCAGCCCATAGGATAAGCTAGAAACCAATGCCCTTGTTAAGTAGCCAAGTGCATCTACAGTGTTGTTCGAGGAGACGTTTTATTCTTCTTAAAAAATGTAACTCACATTCATCAAAGTGCCCCAAGAACTCAACATGAAGCAAACAGAGACCATCTGGGAATTGGACTGAAATCTGCATTGCTGTTTGGAAACAAATTACTAATGTAGGTGTAGCTACTGAAGTTTTTCTGTGTTGAATATCTTGGCTTCTCTTCCAGTGAAAAAAGTCTCTTCATTCATGTAACTATTAAATTCTTCATTTTTGTTTAATTTGGCAAACAAGGAAGATTGAACTCTGCTGGTGTCTGAGCTTATTTGCATTAAAGACTCTAAGAAAAGCCAAACATTTTTGTACTTCCTTGAGTTTTCATTTTCTTTTGCTATTTGCAGTCTTTGAAGTTCTTGGCATCGTTATTTTCCTTGGTTTGCATCTGTCATTTGACTATACATTAAAGGTTGAACAACCCAAACCAAAAGTATTTTAGTTAAAGGGAATAAATCATTCAGTACTTTTCATACTTAAATTATTTTCTGGGCAGCTATCTGCCTACAGACAAAACAATTATATCACAAACTGAAAGGTTACCATGGAGGTAATTTAATACATATAATCACACACTTACCGAGTTTGTCATCCACTACAGTGGCTTCAGTTGCTTCTGAGGGTTCACCAATTCCAGCTGAATTGCAACAGCGAACTCGGAAGCAGTAGGATTTGCCTTCAGACAAATCAAAAACTGCAAAGCGAGGAGACTTCACAGGGATCTCAGTGTTCACCCTTTGCCAGTCCTCTGTGCCGGCAACACACTGTAGACAATCCCAGAAACCATGTTCAGAACAAAAGCTTCTGAAAGCTCAATGTCTAACCCAACAAGGCTTTCTACCCAGACCACTAAATGCACATCTGCTGTGAAAAACAGGGAAACATATCCCTTTTTTTTTTTGCCTTTTCACAGAATGAGCATATTTTTGAAAGATTATGAATCTGCCAGATGCCCACCTACTCCAGAAAACTGACATAAAAGTTTACTGGTTTTCATATATAACAAAGCTAAACTCCTCTCTGTCACAAGGATGTGATGTGATTAATAACTGCATCCAGTTTGCATCACTTTCAAAATAAGTTCTGCAGATATTCAGCATCATGTAAAGGGCAAAACTCTAACATTGCTACATTGCTTATAAATGTCCTTGTGTCACTCTTAATGTTTTTGGTGTGGCTTCCAGAACAAGGAGTCTTACCCTCATCAGGATCTGACTCTCATTTTCCAGAAAAAAAATAACACATGCAATTAATTTGTAAATTGTTTTTATTTCTGTGGCTAGAAACTCTACATATCATGATCACTTATACTATTAATACTAGTGATTAATTTTTCACTGTGATTTACATTAAGTATAAATTCAAGTAATGGTTCTGGTTTCTGAGGGATTCAAATTCTCAGGAGAATGTTCTCTGACTATCTGTCACTAGTGCTGAGTACTCAGCAGGCAATCAATTCTTATTTCATATATGGAAATTCAAAATTCATATATTCACCCTCTCTAAGGCTTGCTAATTGAAATTCATTTATTTAGACCAGATTTTGTACAAGAGATGAAAGCCACAAAATTGGAAGATATTTATGTCTCCCTTGATGTCACCTCTAGCCTGATAGAGAAAAGCATTGATAAAAAAGTTTATGAGCCATGACATGCAAGTAAAAAGGGTGATGGGGTGAAGAATTTTCTAGGCTAGCAGCCAAGAAGAAACACCTCAGGAAAGCTGAACACTGAAATTAAAACTGATTCTGTTCTAGAAAATCAGAAAAGAAATTTTGTCATCTTTGTTGAGTTGGTGAAGCAAATGGAAAGTTAATGTAGAGGATAAATATGAAAAGGCAGCTGGAAGAGAAACTGCTGATGCCAAGAAACTCTTGCAGAATGCTTCCATCCAGAGTGTCCTACTAGACAAGCTTTGTTTATACAAATTCTATGTATATATTTTATATATCATATATATATATCTGAGATACATATATATAAGCATGAGGGACCCCTGGTGGCCTAGTGGTTAGCATGCAGGACTCTCACCGCTGCAACCCAGGTTCGAATCCCAGGCCCCCCGGGCAGATGGAGCTCGTTAGCCCTGTGAGGCCATCCATCTATGAGAAGGTCACTCTAAACAAACCTACGTCCTGAGGACCTCACTGCCATTGTCCAAGCTTGTTTGGCCCCGGCAGATGAACCTTAGGATTAAAGGGTGGGCTCAGTTCAGCGCAGGCTGTGTCTCACCTAAAAAATCCATTGCGCAGGCTGGAAAGGTAAAAGACCTTTCCCCAGATCTTCGTTCGCGAAGACTGGCCATTATTTATTATATAAGCATGTGACTTTGCTCTGTGCTTTCTCATTATAGAGGGAGTTTGTCAGTCTGTCTACTCCAAGGAAGGTGAATAATGCAATTCACAAAAGAATATTACAGTTTGTGACACAATCTGCATCTGCAGATTGTGTTTTCTGTATTGTATTTCTGTTTGTATTTCTCTTCTTTCTTCTCTTCTTAGTTTATCTTAATCTACAGTTTAACAATTATCTTGATGAAGTTCTAGTTCTGGCCCTGGTTTTAAAGTCTCAGACAGAAATGAAAGTTAACTAGAAGTCCAGAAGAGATGGCAAAACAAATGTAAAAGATTGCCACAGCATAATTTTGATTTTGTCCAGTTTTACCTTTTCCACAAAGTACATTATACCCTCATGGCCCCTCTGTCCAGGAGGTTTCCAGCTAAGCACAACATAGTTCTTGGTGGCTTCAATAACTTGGAGGTCCGTAGGGGGACCTGGAACAACACCCTCTGAAGAACAGAATAAGAAATTAAAATTTAATTCCTTTATATTTGTATCAGAATTGGTGCTATAATTGAAATACAGGAGTATTAATATACCCTGCCACCTGATATTTTTTAAAAACATAGAGTTAGAAATCTTATAAATGTCAATTTCAAATGTCCTTCTTTTAATTCTAAGCATGCTTTTTGTTGGGTCCTGAATGATGAAACCTCATCTCAACAACCAAGTCATGAATTATTCAAGGTCAAGTGACTCTCAGAACAACGAACTTTGGGTGCTTGCCAAAGTCCACAGAACTCATTCAGAGTTCTCCTAATTACTCGGCCAGTTTCACATTAGACTTTTATAGGCAAAAGGACTGTGTTTACCTGCAGGTTCTTCCTCAGTCACAATAATCTGTCCAGTCCAAGGAGCAGAAGGGTGACCTGAAACAAATGTCAGAGGAAACATGGAAATGGGAGATTTCAGGAACTTTTGAAACAATGAGAAAACTGACTCTTTTGTGGTTCGAAACTAATATTTGCAAGATCACTGTGAGCTCTGGTTTTAGTTAATGCTGTGACTGTTGCTCGTGTAGCAAGCTTGTTACCCACGGTAGTTGCAAGCTTATCATCTTGAATATTGAGAGCAGCTCAGCAATCAACATAGCTAGAAAATTTAATCCACCGATTCCTTCCTGAAATGTCACTGAAGTCTCCTAGGTGACAAGCAGAGCTATTTGGCTCACTTCATCGTTTTCAGAGAATAATTTCAACTTTATTTTCTCTCCTCTATTCCTTTGGTTTAACAGCTCACTTATTAAAAGAACAGCCAAATTCCTGCAGGTTGGTTTTTGTCTCTTTTTAACCACTTTCCTTCATATTACCAGCTTTTAAATCACAGGTCACAGTCACAAACGGAAATGTCTCAGCCTGACTCAACACATCCACTTGATATAATTTGGGTGGCTCTCTCAGCTCCTCTACATTATCATATTATTGCAGTTATTCATTCAGCTATCAGCCAGGTCAATGCACTTTCAGAGGCAATTTTTGCAAACACTGCTCTCCACCTCCACATTGCTCACCTTAGTGATCTGTTTTGGAGATGTGAGCAGAGAGGGAGCCGATGGGGAGAAAAGGTCATGAAGGATGAGGAGATATAATGGAAATAGGTCAACAAAACCAGACTTTATCTCCTGATAAAGCTTCTATGCTGCCCATTGAAAAGAAGAGGCCTCCCCCTGACTTAGGTTTTCACAAATATGACTGAGTGCAATGTTTCCTGGCAGAGCCAAACCTCCTTCCTCTGGTCTTTTGTTTTTATCTTGAATGGGAACCTAGATTATCTGGCTGCATTGTATACAGTAACTCATACGAGCTGGGACCATGGGATCCCTGTAGCTTTACATACAATACCCCTTTACATTGGACCATTTTAATTATATGTGTTCAGAAATATGCAGAAATAGATTTTGAATGGAAGTAGAAGTTGATTTTTGGCATATGATTGTGGCATATGGGTAGAGAGGTGGATTTGGAAGCAAAATGCCTGAGACATTGTGAGGCCACAGGAGAAATATCCTTGACTTGTAAAATGCTAACTTTAAAGCAGAAAGCCTGAGATCTGTGTGGCCGTCCTGGTATTGTGCTGATGTTATTGCAAGACTTTGATTGTCACATGAGCACAGAATCAGCCACCCTTGTCTGTGTCTCAGAGAGACTATTTACAGGATCTGTTCAGCTATTTTGTTGGCTGAACAAAAGTGAGTCTCTCTAGCTCTACTGTGCCTTTTTCCCCCTCTTCCTGCCAGTTTGGAGCATGCCACTGCAGCCAGCCAAAGCCATTTCAGCAGATAGAGTACTGAGTGCAAAGAGCACCGAGATGATTTCTTCTTGGCAAAGCTGTCTCCAAAGAATATTTTAGTTTTGCATTGCTCCCTCTAGTGGGATTTCAAAGGCGTCTGAGTTGATAGTCATAATTTTTTAAAATTTTTCTTTTTTTTTTTTTAATGAGTTGTGACTTCTTAAGTCTCTCAAGCAACTGCAAAAAGCACATCTTACTTCTAAGCCTGGCTCTGTCTGCAGGATCCAGAGCAGCCACGGGCTCTGACACCCGGGACGGTAGGCTGACGCCAGCTTTGTTCACTGCTCGGACTCGGAAAATGTAGGAACGGCCTTCAATCAGACCAGTAACAGGAAAACGAGCAAACTTCACAGGATTCTCATTGCACTGGGTCCAGTGGGCAGTGCCGACCTCGCACCTGAAAAATACAAACAGCAAGAGCAGTGATGGGAAGGGAAAAACACAAACTTGGGGCACCCACACGCCTTTGCATCTTTGCCATCTGTTTGTGTTGATTGTCTAGTCCACACAAGTTTCCACAGCAGCTTTATGTACTGGTGACATCAAAGCAGCTGCACCAAGGCATCGGGGCTGACTATAGTCTGGGCACGCACTAAATCCCTCACAGCTGCACCCCTTCTTTCCTGAAATGAAGAGGGACAGGATCAGAACTCACTTCACTGCTTAAACCCTCCAAAGTATGCTTAGGGAGTGTCAGCTTTAGCATACTTAAAGGGACAAGAAACACCTGTCTCTATTGCAGTTGCCAGAAGATGACTAGTTCATCTTTCCTGCACAGTGCTGCACTGTACGTACTGCAAAATGCTGGGCTTCTCAGGGTGCAGAGACCTGCACTGTGAGTTCTGAGACCAGCACAGCACAGAGATGGCTGTGAACAGGGTTAAAGTTGGGCATTTAGCCAAGCCCTGCTTCAGAAACCGCTGAGGCTGCCAAGGCAGCCTGTGGTGTTCTGGCTGCAGTCACTGCAATGACAAGACCCAGCATGGTGGTGCTGGTCACACGGCTGTGAAGCCTCACACACGTCAGTAGGCTGGTTTCTGGCAGAAGGAAGAGATAACCAGCAGCCACTTCAGCTCAGAGAGCCAGGAGGAGCCTGTGGTAATGGCTTCCCAGTATCTAGCAATGTGGTCAGCAGGAACATGGCCCTGTAGCTTGGGAAAGACTTTTTATTGCCGATGAGATATCTACCAAAGCAAATGTCACAGTTTCTACCCAGAGTTCTTGGTACATGCAAACATCTCTTGTTGAGAGAATTGTTACCGTCCTGCTCAGGGCAGTTTTGTTGTTCTGGTTTCTGTTTGGGCGAGGGACGCCCAGACTTTGCCTTTAGCTTTAGCACAGACCAATCCTGTTGGCTTGGACCACCCACTCACTCTACAAGGCAGTTAGGGGCTACCCTGGATGAATATTTGGGTACCTAAATGCCTTTTGTGGGATCAAACACTGGAGAGTAGCAACACAGCTTTGAATTTAGGAGCAAATGCAGAATAAAGGAGGTGAACACAAAAGAAAAAGCAAAACACCATTTGTCTTGCAGTTACTCTCAATGCTAACATCTTTAATAGCCTAGTTTTAAAATGAGATATTATTGTTCAGAGTCTAGTCCTGTCTTTTGTTCAGGATTTTTCAATGAATGTTAAAGAGCTCTAGCTTCTGCCTAATGCAGCACAGTTACAGCAGCAATTGACACTCAAGTTAGCAAAAAGTTATATTTGAATGTTAGATTTATTTCAAAAAGCAATGCCCTCTTTTTAGAGATAGATAATGTAATATATATAATGTAAGTATATACAATGGCATAATACATGCATCTGAAACTCCATATTACTAATGATATATTCTGTTACTGAAATTCAAACATATATTACTAGCACTGAAGATTATTGTAAGTCTCAAAATGCTGACTGAATTTCTTAGATCCCATGTTTCTACACTCCTACCACTGTGTGATATGTGGAGGTTTGGAGATTTCATATTTTTTAAAATTATTTCCAATTCTTATTGTTACAGAGACAAACAAGCAAGCATGATTTGCATGAAGTTTGTGAATCTAAGAGCTTAGATAACAACAGCATATAAAAAAGAAATCCAAGTCCCTTTGAGATAATATTTTGTTTTCTGGTACATAGTAACTATTAGGAAAGAGGCAGGAGAGCTGTGTTACAAAAGGAGACACATTTGCCTGATGAAAGAGCAGATACTATAAGCTCCCAAACACTGCAAAATCAAGTTTACAGGAAACAGCAAGGGCTGAGCTATGCAGCATCTCACAGTTAAATGAAGCAAGATGTGATTATTTCCATGAAAGTTAGATCAGGCCCAGCCAATCTAAAATAAAAAAAGTAATTTCTTCTGGCCAGCAAAAAGAATGAAAATAACAAATGACTATTTTATCTCATGTTTTTCAGTGTGCATTTAGTTTTTCAAGTTAGAATGAGCAGCAATATGAATTCTCCAGTCCAGTGTGCTCACTGACCTGTCAATGAAATATCCAAGGATGGGGTTTCCTCCATCGACAGCGGGTTGCTTCCAGGAGACAATGACATAATCTTTGTTGGCATCTAAGCACTGCACATCCAGTGGTGCACCAGGGGCTCCAGGGATTTCAGCATCAGCATCTATGAGGATAGAGGAATATGTTTCCAAATGTGAACCATGGTTCTTTCACAATTATTAATCTTTAAGGACCTAAATGTGTTCCTACTGCGCCAAAAAAAAAAAAAAAAAGAAGTTCCATTACTGGCTTCAAAAAGTATTTGCTTTTATATTGTCAGTGTTTTTCTAGGTTTTGGTTTTCTTTTTGCCACATTTACAAATGCTTAATATGTTACAGCACACTGTAAATGTAATTCACCTAGACATTTTAAATAAAATTAGTACCATGCATTATGGTTAGGGAGCTGCCAGAGACACAGCTGAACTAAAAACTTGGCAGACTGCCCCTTACAGCCAGGCAATAGATGAATCAGAAGTATTCACCCATTGGATATAACAACACTGAATTAAATATTTTATCTCTACTCATAGTCCTTCATTGTTTGATTTTGGTTAGCTATGAACTGCAGAGGTATCAAAACCTTTTGAAGTTTAACTATATTACATATTATCACTGTGGAATATAACCTTCATAAGGATGAGCATATTTTTTCTTTCAAGTGTTTATCACAAATCTGGGACTGCTCGTGTCAAGGGGCCTTGACTTCAACATCACCTTCTGGACATATCTTATCTAAAACTTTAAAAAACACAGCACAGTGCTGGGCACTGGGGAATTTTACTGTTTACACAATCTGATTTGTGAAATGGTGTAATTTTCATGTAGAGAAAAAGAACCTTTGCAGGAAGATTGTGTGAAAGACTTTCAAATCAGAGAGGTTGTTTCTCTGCAGACTAACATCAATTTGTACAATTACATGTAGCTATTTTCAAGATCTGTTTTGAGCTACTGCAAAAGAAGACCTGACTAAATATATATACCTGAATAAACAATATTTTGCTAATAAATATTTTTCATACATTCCCTCTAAACCCGAGACTTTTTAAAAAGGTTTAATATTACAAGGCATTACAGGACTTTGTATTACAATATAAAGTAATCACTATTTTTTGTGCTTTTGGCTTTCAGGAAAAAAAATGCCTTATAAGAGTATTTAACATGCTTCATTAAGTAAAACAATAGTTTTCCTAAAAAAACCCCTACAAAACAAAACATGCTTTACAGTGTGCCTTCTCATAGACAGAGATGCACCACACAGGGCTTTTGAAACTGCACTGAGTTTGCCAAGTCCAGGTTCTAATTACAGGCAACTCAATGCATTTTTAAAAGTGATCATGTACAGAGTAAACAATCCAGTTAACAACACAAAATACTAAGAACGTTAAGAGTAATAACAACATGTCTTCAGTGATCTCTTTACAAAAGGTTTTAGTTGCCCATATTTACCGCTTGACGGAACGAGTCAACACAGTTTCTTTCCAAGACAGACTGGGAAATAGCTGGGACAACCAGCATTGCTGATCAGCCTCTGGGGGGCTAGGATTTCATCCCTGATGTCTTGCTGACAAATGATGACCTGTAGCCATGGCAGAGGAGTCACACATGCTCTCAAAGCCTGTCTGAAGACCTAACTTTTTGAGCCTGATCACTGCTTTGCTCCCTTCCATCAATGCGTGGGGATTTCTAAGTGTGACACAAAAAGACAATGGCTCAGGGTAAAATACCGCAGCTAGCCATTTTAGAGCAAATTTGTCTACAGTTTAGTAGAAGCAGTGAGGCATATACTAGCCAACCAAGGCTGTGGGGACCACTTAAATAGGAATGTAGAATATGATTAATCTAATTAGAATTTGGCAAACATGTTCATTGGCTAATAAGATACTCTGGTGAAAGGGGGTAGTGGGTTCACACTCAGGTCACACCTGCATTGCTAGAAGATGTAACAGGATTGAGAGTGATCATTTACTTATATGGCAGTAGAATGTAAAACAAATAAAGACAGACAAGTCATATTTCTTGTCACAGATGCTTATTTCAATAGACTCTTCAGGTGCTGAAAATGTCTGCTTCAGTCATATTTTCTGAGCTGTTATCTCACACAGCTCTGATGGACTTAACAACACAGAGCCATTCTGGGCATGGTCTCAGAGCCAAGAATTTCCAGAGCCTTTTGAATTAGCACTACACACTTCAGCTGCTCTCAGCAGCTGGGATAGATATAGAATCAGCACACAACCTGACAGCAATGGCTCCTTTTAAAGAAATAATTCTCAATAGAAATTCAATGAAGTTTTTCATGATACAAGCAAACAACACTCAGAAAAATGGCATTCTTATTCTACACATTGCTGCACTACTTTAGAGAATCACAGAATGGTTGAGATTGGCAAACAGCTCCAGAGACTGCCTAGTTCGTCCCCTGGCTCAAAGCATAGTCAGCTAGAGCTGGTTCCTCAGAGCCATGTCAAGTCAGGGTTTGGGTGTCTCCAAGGATTGAGACTCCACAGCCAGTCTAGGTAATGTGTTCCAGTGTTCAACCACCCTCACAGTAAAAAAAAAGTGTTGGGCTTTTTATGTTTAAATGAGCTTCCCTTATTTGAACTTATGTCCAATTCCTCTTGTCCTGGCACTGAGCATCACTGAAAAGAGCCTGGCTCTATCTTCTTTACTCCCCTCCATCAGGTACATAATGTGGATAAGCTCCTCCTAAGATCTCTCTTCTCCATGCTGAACAGTCCCAGCTCTCTCAGCCTTTCCTCATGTCAGAGATGCTCCAAGCTCTAAATCACCTTCATAGCCCTTCACTGGACTCACTCCAGTGAGTCCATGCCTCTTTTGTATTGAGGGTCCGAGAACTGGATCCAACATTTCAGATGAGTCTCACCAGTGCTGAGTAGAGGGGAAGGATCACCTCCCCAGCCTGCTGGCAATGCTCTTCCTACTGCAGCCCAGGATGCCACTGCCTTTCTTTGTGACAAGGGCACATGTTCACCTTGTTGTCCACCAGGATCTTTTCTGAAAAGCAGCTTTTGAGCCAGTCAGACACCAGCCTACACTGCTGCACAAGATTAAGCTTCGCCAGGTGCAGACCTTTGTGTTTCCATTCCACTGTACGGTTTTTCCTGCACTGTGCATTAGAGACAATCCCTCAAATGGCACATAAAATCTTGATAAAAATACTGCAGCTTAGCTAGAAGTGAGATTGTTACAAAAATGCATTTTTTATTTCTATGTGGCTTTTTCCTCCTTATGACTTATGTTCAATACTCTTCACTAGCTGAAAGTGAGAAGTAGTAGTGTAGTTACACCAATACCCTAAATTTCCTTCTCAGAATGCCAACGGAGTTTAGAGTTCTGGCATGTGACACCAAAGCATGAGATATGTATTGAATTTTTTACAGAGATAGCAACTGGGAACAATATTGCTAGAATCTATTAATAGAAAATAATTATTCTCTTTTTAATGAGGTGGGGGAAAAAAAAGCACTCAAATATCTGAGACTGATTTTGCCAGCATGTTTTCCTCAGTTCTGTAGTGAGTTTTGTTCACAAGACATTATCCTACCTCGAACAAAGACATAACCACTGTACTCTTCATAGTACTCTCCCATTGCCACTCGTAGAGTATAAAGACCTTCATCTTCCTTGTTTGCGTGAGTCAGTGTTAATGAAGCTCGCTCCCCGCTCCACTGCATCTGGACCCATTTGGATGGTGTAATAAGAACACCTAGTAATTAGAGAATTTCATTATGAGAATGAGCTGAATCTGTGGAGGAGTAAATTCTGAATACAGAGAATATATTTGAATAGATTGGAAATACACAAAAGACCATTCTTATTAGACGACTTTCTGACTTTGAACAAAATCACAGCTAATTCTGCTCTCATGAAAATTTTGTCTTCAATTTCAAAGTGTAACTTCAGAGAGCAACAGGATTTTTTATCAGCTGTTGCATAAAATATATGTGCAACTACTTAAGAAATGTCTTGGCATTTATATAAATAGTAAAAGCTATATGGACTTTGTAGATGGGCCATATAGCTGTTGGATCAGATTGAAATGCTTCTAATTTAGAATTTTTTAAGAAGAAAAAATTCATAGAAGGCATTTCCACAGTGCCTTAGCAGTTGTCTGTGGTTTCACATCAAAATGCTAAATTTTGAAACTATTTTAGTTGAAAAGAGAAGATATTACTGTTGGAAAAATTGAGAAAGTGATGATCAAATCATAACGTTCACATATGATGAAATAAGTAAAGATTTACATGAAAGAAGTTTATAGTTCTATTGTCAAACATTCTCACCATTTCTGTACCATTCAATGTCTGGTTTGAAGCGCTTGATATCAGGATTGATGACAACTGTGCAGCCCAGACTCATTGTCTCTCCTTCTCTCCCAAAGGCTACATCAAACTTGTCGACAAAGCTGATTTCAAACCTAGAAGCATAGCCATAAGGGGTAATGGCAACTGTATAAAGGAAAAAAAAATAATCTGGCTGTTTACTTTGTATTCATAATCACTGAGTACTTTTTCTTCCTACTCTTGTCACAAAAGGAAAGACAGTCTCAGCTAAAGTTTAAATTATAAATAGGAACAACATACATATTGTCGTCATCTTCAGGGTAACTGCAGTGTTAAATAATCCAAGCCCTTTCTATCACAAAGAATCAACTATTTCTTTATTCGTACAACTCTTGTTCTTACAGATAGTTAATTTTATCAGGGAGAGACTCCTGCAGAATTTCATTTCAGAATTTTCAAAATTTCAGATCTATGTGTTTTATCATCAGGTTTGTTTTATAACTTAAAAAGTCTTCTATTTATGATTAATTTTTTGTTCAGGTCAAGTTGATCTTTAGCTTATATGGTTCTTCTCTTTCCCTTTTTAACTCCTTGCTCTGTCTCAAAGCAGCCATGTGTCCACTCAGCCTTTATTTTTATAAGCTAAATAAATCCTTTGGGGGGCTATTAATATAAAATGAACTCTCCAATCCCCAAGGCATTCAGGTAGTCTGTTTCTGAATTTGCTCCTGAATCCATCTTTTCTGATGCTGTATGTCCCAGGTTGTGCAGTTTTTCAAACAGAATATCCTACGTGCCTTACACTTGTTCTATACATACATGGTACAGGGCCTTACATGTTTCTTTTGAAAACAACGCAGCTGATAAAACCTAAGGCCACATTTGCCTTTTACACAACTGATGGAAGCTGTGATCAGTCTTCCTGTGATCAATGGATATATGCAAATCGCCATCTTTCTTTCCCATAACCAAGTGATAGATCCTAAATTGCATTGGAAATGTTTAGCATTATATTTTGTAATGTGGCACATAATTTTGTTTCTATTATTTCAGAGCTTTGGCATGTAAATGCCAGCTAGTATGCCTTTGTAGCATCTCTCTGATTCTATTTGTGCTGCAGCAATAGAAGAAAAGCCCAGAAGTGTCATCTGTCAAGCCTTTCATGGGGTCCCTAGTGCTCTTCATCCACATGGCATATGTGGGTAGATTGTCTTATCATCATAGAAGCATCTACGCAATACTGTAAATAACATCAAAATGCCAGGTTCTCAGGTAAAACAAACTACAATTTTTACCTTCTCATATCCAAACTAGTCAAAATGGGTTCTGGATATTTGATCTTTTCTGTGTATTTTCCCAACTCATGGAATCACATAGGCAGCAGACAAAAACAATTAAATCATCTACTCTGCTTAGGCACATGCACCTCCTAGCTTTTTTCCCAGGTCATGTTTTACATTTTGCAAAAGATGAACTGTCTCTCTTGTTGACAGATTTTATTTCACAACGATGTACAACATTAACAAGATGTTTCTTATATGAGCCAATATACCTAAAAAGCAATGCCATTCCCCTACTGGTGAGGCACCTCAAATTGTAGGGCTCAGGACCTTTATAAATCAGACCTGTTTCCTTTTAAAATAGTGTTACTAAATATTCTGCTTAGTCAGGTGTCATGATGTCACAACTATAAATGGAAGTGTCAAACAAACATATTGTAACTTACATGGAGACATGGAAAGATTTCCAGCATGCAAAAGACTTGCATCAATTTCTCCTTTGTACCCTACATGGAAAAAGACAAATCCAGTCACTATCACCAAGAGGTAAAGGCTCTCTGAGCCACAAAACCAAAACTGGTAACATGCATCTTAACAAAAAGAACTTGAAGGAAATATTTTGCAACCTACTCTTTACCACGAGGGAAGCATAAACTGAAACTTCTCCTTTAACATTCATAGCAGAGGCCCTATACTGGGCAGTGTCGTCAAATTCACATCTGAAATTATAGAAATGATTAGGCAGAGCACACATTTACTCCTTCTTATAGCCTCTCCTATGTTTTAGATTAAGGCAACTCTCAGAAATCTGGGTAGAATCTGTAAAGTAAAAGCTTGGGAGACAGACACGCTGGACACTGGACTGATTGCAACCATTAAGTTTTTTCCAGTGTTAAAACCCAGGGTTTGAAATAAATGTCTCTTTTCAAATATCACTTACATATTTGCAATTGAGAATACAGCACAAGCAGGGCAAACTATCTGATAGTATTTATCTCTAATTTACTGTCTCCTAAGAGAGTGAAGAGTATGTGCAAGCTGTAGAAATGGTAGATTTTGTAAAATATTTTCAAAGGGCCCCTAGCAGTATATAAATTGTCAAATCTAAATTGTTGCTGATTGGGTCTCATACTGTCAATATTTTTAGTGAAAAGTAACTGCAAAAATTTCCCATTTGGAGGATGAGTACTGTTAAAGATCTTCCTTGTGTATAAGTGACGACATCTCAGTTCTGTTCCTCATTTCAGTAAGAATTATGAACTTTGCTGTTTTTGAAAAACAGGTAACTCACATATTTTTACCCTTAACTGAATTTTTTTCATGTCTAACTGCATTCATTAAGCAGACAAGTGGGAAAAATAATCACAAATGTCCCACATGTTTCTGACTCAGCCGTAAAGAGGATATCCAGGTAACTCAGGTAAATTACATATCCTCCATTGAGGTAAACCAGAACTTTTTCAACCCTTAGGAGACAGCATTCACCTCAGCTGATATTTCTGATACCTCTGATACCACCTTACTTAGTATCTCTCACATGCCCAAGAGATATGTTCACATTTTGCAGGTCTCAATCCATAACAACATTTCAGCATAAGGTGTTTGTTAAATTATCTAGTATTCCCTTACGTGGTAATCTCCAGTGAGTGCAGTCCATATCGGCTTTCAATGATATACTTGCCAGGGTGAGCCTGTACATCAATGGGCACGTTGTTTTTGTACCTGTGGAGAAGCAAAGAAAGAGTATGTCACAAAGAGAAGTGTATAATTATATACTTTAAAAAGTGAAGTGCTTGATATTTGAAATAGAACATCATTTTCTGCATGGGAATACTACTTTGGAAGCATAGCCTCTCTTTTTGTCTTTGACCTGCCCTAGGTAAATTTTGTTTTCTAATTAAAAGGAGAAAATAGTCTTGAGTGGGATGAAAATCGGTTTATATTACCATGAATTTCATGTTACTACTTGCAAAGGAAAGGAGAATTCATATGAGCAACACCTCAGAGTTTTGTAAATTGCAAACAGCAACAATTCTGTAGCATTGTTACTTACTAGGTATCATACGCATTTTGTTTGGTTTGCATATTTGATCTACTTTTAAAGCCTCCATATTCACAAACATGTCAGCTAATAAGTTAGCTTTTTTTTTTTTGCTTGCATAGCTAACGTAACAGAAGTCCTGATGGGGTTAGGTTGGTATACAGTATGAGTGTTTTCTGGTACAGGAATATCTTCAGGATGGAAAAGTTTACTGTTCAAAATTCCCAGTAAGTAATTTGAAGGAATGAATTAATCAGTACTGATCAGTAGTGAGCTGGTACTGCTAATTTCAGAATTTATATAAACAGCTTGAGACTCTCTCTGTGAGAATTCAGTGGTTCATGGTAAGTTCTTCCTCACCAATTGTTGCAAACAATGTTGCCATTCTGGACAATACATGGGGTAATCAGGTAAATGTTTGAGCAAGTAAGTATCACACTGGTAATATGGAATAAACTATAGAAGTCTAATAAATTACACACTGAATTGTATTCAGTACATTTGGGATTTATTTAAGGTCTATAAAGAAAAAATATTTCCTAGGAGAGTGCTATACCTTAGCATAGCTTTCCCTGTTCTCCATAAGGTACATACATGAAGAAAGTGGAACAATAAATGATGATAGATAAAAGTATCTTCATCTCTTACTTTGACGTAGCTTAAATAAACCCTTCTCCTCATAAGAGATAACCAGATAAAGAGCTTTGCTTCATTTCAGATTTTAAATTTTAAATCTCTCATGACTTTCAATCAGGAAAGGGAACTGGTCTGATGTCAGTGGCTTGTCCCACTTCACCAAACAAATCAGTAATTAGCAATTTTATTTTTCCAAGAATATTATTAGTTTACCTTAAGGTGAAGCTATATCTGCAACAAATCTGAAAACTGTCTTTCAGCACTGTCAGTGTTACGAAATAAAGAATATTTCCCTGGCTAGAAATATTTGGGCACAGTAAAACATTGGGATTTTTTCAAGTGCCAAAGTCAGCAAGGACCATAAACCCTAATGATTTTTATCCTGATCTTCCTCTCAGCAAAATGTCTATGAAAAGGGACTCAATGCAGGGCAATACTCTCTACTCTGTACATTAATCAGTTGCAGAGATGCCTGACCTCAGTACAGATCTCCTACTCTATTATCCTGGCTTAGACGAAGAATAATACGTGGGTTCAGCAAGAGTAATCCATTCCCTGCCACTCTTCACCTCATCTGTGAGGTGGTGCCCCCCCGAGACTGACCTGTCTGGGAACACCTGGGCCTCTTTACATTCCATCTAGTGTGTCAAATAGTTTAGAAAATAGAATAGTGCCATCAGTTCCTAATATTTTCCAGGGAATATGAAATCCTGGAAAACAGGATTTGACTCCAAAATCTCTTTAACTTTTCTCCAAAGGGCTGGGCAACGCTTGGATCCTATTGGCAGCGAAGTTGTTTGGTAGCACGGGGTGCTGTGCAGAAATTAACTTTAACTGGTCATGCCAGAAGCAAGAAGACTTTCCCTTCTTTTTCTTCATTATCAAGTTAGTAAAAAATAATTGTTTCAATTTTGGCTTATTTATATTCATCTATGGGAAGAATGGGGCTCATGTGTTACAAGGACCTCTTGTTATTTCTGGAAACGTGAATTCCAGAATGGCCAGGTCATTATCTAATGTTGTACTGCAACCTCCCACTGTCATTAGGCATTGATAGTTTATACTTTCTGCTGCTGGTTTCAGATGTCATGTGTTTTCTGTACGCTTTTTTTTTCCAAGGGAGTCAGAACAGCTGCATCAGGCAGTAAGGTTTTCTTTAGAGAAAGTTCATGAAGCTTTATAGTTTTTCAGGCACAGCATGAAAAGGTCTTCTTTGCTTATACAAAGAATGACTGTTTGGAATACTGGACTGACATTTTGTTAGAAATGCTGAATGAAAGCCGGCAGATCCAGGTCAGCACTGTTCTATATCTCAGAGCAAAGACACCTGCTGAAATGGATGTGAGCTCTTTTTTTCCATTAGTAGCCTGTGGCAAACTGAAATCCCTTTGGATTTGTAAAACGTTGTATTAATTTTAACCATCCACATTTAGCACTCAGATGAAAGGCTGGTTCACAGTGAGAGCATAGGCAGACAGCTGAAGGCTTGGTTTAACCATGTCAGGTTTTGGGAATAAGGTGAATCTCAACCAAAGTGAAAATGACCCAGTTCTCTTGTTCTTCGGTAGGATTCAGATTACAGAGCTGGATTACAACCATGAGCATAGCTGACCATTTCTTACGTCCAGCTGAGACCAGATCCCAAGGGTTTGTCTGGAATCCTCTTCAGGAGGAATGTCAACACAGGACACTCGCAATCCTTACATGACAGGAAAAATGTCTCCATGCAGAACCTGGCTATTGGTTGTCAGAGTCCATGGAGAGAGATCAAGTGACTTTGTGGACATCAGCTCTGGCCTACTAATGTACCTCTCAGTAGCATTTTTTGTCAAACCCTGAGATTAAAGTTTTTAAGACTTAAATAAATGCAGAGTCCCTTAAGCAATTCAAGTAGCAAATCGCAAAATATGAGTATTACGCAACATCATGATATAGTAGATGTTTTCTGTTGTCTACACAAATACAAGTTCTGTAGGACCTTCTCCTATTAATGCTGAATACAGGCTTAATCTTTGTTCATTTTAAAAACACATGCATACATTTTATACACAAATTCTAGAAGAATTTTTTAACTAAATAATGAACATCATATCTCATTTTATGTCTGAAAAAAAAGTTATTACTTATTATCCTAGCAACTTGATGATATATGTGTACCATGAAAGAGATAAGAAAGATCAGCTCAACAGACGGTGAGACAATAAAACTTCACAAGTCACTGTTAATTAAGCTAAATTCAATTCCAGTCAGGGTAAACTTTAACCCAAAAATCAAATTAGACCTTCGGCTATGACTAAGGAAGGTATTTTTGGTTTATTACAGCAAAGATTTAGTACAAAGACCATTCAAGTGAATAGAAAGTTTCCAATAGCTTTCAGAATATTTGGATGGTTCCAGTTCTATCTGAAGTCTTTGATTTCAAAAACGATGATGTGTCTGCTATGAACACATCATCATCATTGATATTTCATATCATCATCATGAGATTTCAGTTTCATAGAGATTCAGTACTACAGCTGCTCAGTAGCCAAGGAGCTTGCTCTTGACCAAAGCCTGCTTTAACGCTTCAGGGACATTAACGTCATTTGTAGACTAAACAGAAGTATTTGGAAAACATTCTTAAAGACAGTATGATAAATTAAACTGCTATTTTTCCTTCATCATTGGACAGAAAGAATATCTTTGATATCTCTACCAAATAAAGGAAAAAATCTATGTACTCCTAGTGCTGTTATGCAAAGTACTATTTTGTCTTTTAATATTTTGCTCTCTTTTTGTACAAGGTGACTTGAAAGGTGTTTGACAGGCCTGTCATTAGTACCTGACTTTTTTTTATTAAACTTATACTCTTCCAGAAAAATGACCAGATTCACTGAGATGACTTCAGATATTGGTTATCTGGTGACTTTCAGTGCCAGAGATACAAACTTACCATGTAACACGAGGTGCCGGCCAGCCAGCCACAGAACAACGAAATACAACATTTTCCTTTTCCCAGATAGTGTGGGAACGAGGCTCAATGATAAACTCGGGAGCATGTAAGAGTTTATCTTGATTCAACTTTTTATGGAATGCCTGAGTCTCTTCTAGCTGGAAAAGAAACATTTTATTATAAACTTGATTATAATTATAAAACTTGGTTATAACAGCAGTTGGAAGTGCAAATTATTAATACGCACCCAAAAAAAAAGCAAAAACCCCTGTATTTTTTATTTAAAAATTCAGACAGACATTCTTAATGTATTTATCTCACCTGGACACAGCAAACAAAGTTTTCATTTTCCAGAAGTTCTCCTTCCATGATAGCTTGGAAGATTTGATTTTACTGGGTTTTTTTCCTTCTAACTATTCTAAGTAGAATAATTTTCCACATTTAATTACTTATTTATTATTTTAAGTACAAAGTGAAATGTGAAATGGGCCTGAAACTCAGATCTCTTCTATACTTTTGCTCTAAAGCAAGATTGTGTATCCTAGATCATCTCTGACAGACCTACTCTCAAACCTTTCATCACGATGGGATCTTTCCCAGGGTAACTAATATGCTATAAATCTTGCTTTCTGCAAACTAAATGATTTCTTTTCTGCCCTAACTTTCACCTATCTGGAGAATTAAGGTTCCTGTATTGAGATTATTAAAAGAAGATAGATTTCATAATCCTCTCAGTCTTTTATAAACTGGACAATATCTCTTTTCCTTAGAATTTTTTCTCAATTCTGGACAGGTTCTATTTGTCCTCAACATTCATCAAACAGTCACTACTCATTATCGTAGGTCCAACACACACGAACACAATTAAATAACTACCCCTTATGTGTTAGTGATAATACTCTAGAATGGCATTTGTTTTTATACGACTGACATTCAATCTACTGACTGACATTAAATTTCTCTCAGGTCCTGAAGTACTTCCTCCTAGCCAGGCATTCCTCATTTATTTGATTTTTTCCTTCTGTGTGTAGTAATTTCCATTGGTAGTTATAAAATTTCACCTTCACTGTTTCTAAATCTTTGAGACGAAATTTTTATCTTGTCCTTCAAAGTGTTTACGCCCTTTCTAGCCTTATGTCACGAGGATATTTTATAAGCATATCGCCAATTCTTCTGCTCAAAATAGTAATAAATTTGCTAAACAAAACATATTTGAACTTGATATGTTCTGCCAGTCTGGTCATAACATACTTATAAGTATGCTTTGAGTATTATTTTTTAAGAAGCGGATAATAATACATACAATTAGAGATTCAGTTCCAGATGTTCCTCCATAATTTACACATAATTTACCACAATTCACCGTAATGCTGCCTAATTTACACCCTATGATTAGAACTCTGGGGTGAACACCACGGACAAGCTCAGGCTGTAAAGTCCAGAAATTACCCATCCACCTACTTATGGGCAAAATACATATATTGGCAGTTTTATTCTCTGCCCAGCAGATACCTCATCATCTGGGTGAACGATGCTGCGCCATTTAACCAAGTGTAGGCATGACCAAAAAGCATACCCTGGTCCTCCACTCTGTCCTTTTCTCCCAGCACAATAGAAGTGTGCCTGGTACCTGTCTCAGGCACAGTGCCTCTTTCGTTATCCATCTGACACCTGGATAACAAGACTTGTAAGGAATTCAAAAGATTTTCATTAAAAATACTTGGGGGTTTTTACTACTGTTATTGCAATTGCCCATGGAGTAAATCAGGCCCTGGTGTGCTAAGCACTTTACAAACACCAAACAAAAAAGACCCACACTGTTTACAAGCCTAGGTGTTCATTTCTACTCTTTTACCGTTTTTTTCATGGCCACACGTTCAGCAGACTCCCGGATCGCTACTTTCCTTGATTTTTTTTCATGATGCTCCTCTTCAGAAGTTGACTTGGCCACCTTGCTGACACTAACTCCTTCACCTGTGGCAAAAAGGTTCCTCTTGGCAACATATGCAGCACTTTCTTTAATTCTCTCTTCTTCGGTGTCTGTGACACCACTGATATTCACTTCTCTGAAAGAATTTTTAAAAAACAGAATCCCATTAGAAAATGCTGAGAATATATTTCCTTTATACTTTCTATCAAATTAGCCACCTAGAGTGGCCAACACTCTTTTGTAACATATTTCTGCTACTACGGTCTCATATGTATTCAAAGCAGAAACATGGAAGGGTTCTGCAAAAAGACTATTTCACTATCTAAAGACATAGCCCTTTTCAGCACCTCTCCCTATAACTATATCACACATTTTCAGTTAACCATTATCCTGCTGTGGTTTTGTATCTCCATCACCATAAAGAGTAGGGTAAGGCACACCCACAGATCTTTAGTTATTGATTTATGGCCGCAGCATTCATAACACTACAAAGGGGCAGGAGACAACTGAAGCTGTATAACAATGTCCTCACTTGTTATTTATACAAAACCCCCACATAACTGTATATAACAAAAAGTTCTCCTTTTTTGTAGAAAAGTCAATCTTGTAATGCTTTCAAGAAGGTGATTAAGGATTTTCTTGAAGCCTGCTCCTCAGATTTTTTACAGGGGTGAGACACAAAGAACAGTTACTCTCAATGGGTCCGGTCCTGTTTCCCCACTCATGTGTGGATGTACCATTGCAGCCAGATTGTTGTGATATCGTCAGGACATTATAGCTGCTATAGTAGTGCATACACAATGAGAGTTCCTTGACTTTAGAAGAAGCATTAATATCCTTCTGCTGAATTTAGTTGTTTTAAGGTGACATTAGATGACACACTGAAAACAGGTTCTGTTTAAGTTCTTATTAAGTGCCATCTTGCAAACACTATAGAGACAGCAGCCTCGGTTTCTAGAATGCACTCAAGCATAGCCTCTCTATTTTATCATAAAATGTTTACTACTACTAAAAAGCAAAAATATTAAGAAGAATGATTTTTTTTCTGTTTTCTTTTAGATTGCCAATATTATGCATTTGAGAGCACATCTCAATACTCAAGAAAATTTGGATTTAAGCTCACAATTAACTGTCCAGGCCCTTAGATATGAAGTCAGTTTGGTGAGATGCAAAACAGCCAAGCAGTCAAATTTGCTGTAAACTTAATTACATTTAAAAATTGCTTAAAAGACTAAAAACCTTACTTAGCAGCACAGAGCTTTGACCTGTGTCAAGCTCAGCTTCCTGTGTTTTGGTCTGCGTTAAGAAGATGATCCTTAAAGAATCAGTGAAATGATAGATTCCCTTCAAGTAGGCATATCAGCTGCCCCCAAAACTATAATCTGAAGCTACAAGTATATATGGTCAAGATGTTTTAAAACAATTTTAAAAAATCAGTTTAATCAATATGAATATAATTATCTACATTCAGTATAAGTGAATCCATGGCCTTTTTCTTCAAAGGCAAACTGATATTATTTCCTCCTTAATTACAGTAGTTAAGATCTCAGCAACTTCACAATATGAACTGGTTCCTCAAGGTATTGAACATCTTCTAGGAGCTGATGAATATCCTCAGACTAATATAGGACTCATCATAGTCAACTGCAGTTGTGGTTCCCAGGTGTTTTTGATCAACAGTATTACATATTTAGATTTTCTGATAATTTCTTCCTGTTATAATCTTCCCAGATCAAAAAGAAATGTGCTTCTTGAAATGATGACTGTACTAAGACAACATATGGTAGTATTTAAGAATTGATTCAGCAATCGTGTCTCAGGGGTTTTAGTAGAAAACACTTTTCAAGCAGACACAACAAGATCAAACTCCCATTTTGTGGCACACACAAAATATAATTTTAAGGGTATTTGCCATCTACAGTCCTTTGGCATAGACTTATTAGTGGTTGCAAATAGTTCCACAAGCCACACTCAGTATCTTTAGCATCTATGGCATTAAATCAAGCTCTGAGTGTTTTATTGTCTAGAATGCTGCCCAGCTGTCCATAATTTTGTTTTGCAAGGATTAGCTCAAGTGTTTAAGAGGAACGGTTGTAAAAGTGAATCATCTGAGCAAAGGAGTTTTTTACAGCAGAACGTGAAGGTTCTGAAATAGAACTAAATAACGGAAATGGTGACACATCGCTGAAGGTCATCCAGCAGCACGGGCAAGAGCTCCAATGAACCCACAGAGAGCTGACCTTTATAAATAACTACTCCTTTTTAACAGCTATCTGCCCATGGGAAACAGCACATCAATTTCACAGGGGAATTTGGGAATGACATATAACATGCACATGGTTCAGTGGCCTTCAGCTGTTATCTTTCAAACAAGAATAAATATCTGACAGGAATGCAGCACGCAACTTCCACAATCTTGGCATGTGGTCATGAGCATGATGACAACAGAAAAAAGCCTAAACCAGATACCATTTCATGCCATGTTGAGTTGGGCACCCTAAAAATCTCTTTTTAACATTTATAAAAAAAGTAATCAAACAAACTTTTTGGGTCATTTCAGTGGCAGAAAAGCACACACAGCTTTCTGAATTGCCATGTACAAAGAGTAAGACTGATATCAACAACAGGAAGAAGAAGAATAGTAACAATTACATAAGAATCTGACAGTATCTTTTAATGTAGGATCCCAAACTATTGCACAGAAACAAATAAATGAAGTTACACACTATCACATTGAGTTAGACATTACCATATGCATTAAGAAAAAAAATTAAAATAAAATAAAAGTATTTATTAAGATTTGTTAAGATGTTAACATGATGTGCTAAGATCACAGGGGCCTGTAAAAAAGCAAAGTACTAATTATAAATCGTGTTTTTCAACTATTGTCCAACACTGTAAATTTTACCTTTGTAGACTTAAGATACAATAAAAAGGGAGGATATTTGTGCTTGAGGGCATGGGAGACAGATGAGGAATCTACTGCTACATAAGTATAAGCAGCGTGTGACATGCAAGAGTAGTGAGAAGCCTTGAGAATATGGAGAATATGTTATTGCAAGTTTTGTTTAGACTATCACATGACTATTTATGTGTTTCTATCACAAAAGATACAGAGGAAACTCCAAAGCAATTTTTTTAAAGGGTAACAGTGTGTTTCTTAATGTTGGTCGGATCAAAGAGCCGTGAATCCAACACAGGAATATACAAGGAATGAGACAAAAATTACTCTGAGTTAGTGGGAGGGAGTTAATAAAACCAAAACTGCTGGTCTCATCACAAAAGTATTGTAAATCCTCAGAAGGCCAGAGCAATAATATCTTTCACTGACAAGCTGGAACTCAGTTTCACACAAAACCACAAGTTTGGATACAAAGCAGAAGTGCCATTGGGTGTTGACTAAGCAGTAGACAGAAAAGCACGGGCTCCCGGAAACAACTTGGAAGCGTCCCATGAAAAATTCTGTTGTGCAGAGGAAAGACAAGTTGTAAGGAGGTTTCTGTTCAACTGCAGATAGGCAAAAAATTTTTCTCCTTACCTCTAAGCAGGAACCAGTTTTCCACACCACACCCCAGTATGTATTAATCTGAACAAGTGACTATGCTGGAAGTGTTGGACATACCTACTAAAATCACTATGCCATACCCCAAAAAGGGCAGGGGACCCTCCTTTCTCATGTTGGTTCTGGATTCCACTTAAAGTTCACATTCAGCTTTACTGAGAACACTGCTGCAGTAAGATGTATTACATCAGTAGTAACCATACAACAAATACCACCAATATCTCAAATCATTACAATGGATTTGAGAGAGTGTTTGGTTTCATTCCAGCTTCTCCCTTTGCCAGGACAAGACATTAGCACATTGTCTTGTTGTGTCTATGTTTAATGCTTGGTAAGAGACATTTGATTACAGAGCAAAACAAAAGAATAAGCTAAATAATTTGGACAACATGCTTGCCAAGTTCCCAATAAGTAGGGTTATATTTTCATTTCATAGAAAGTGGCCCTGACAATGTGTTCAAAACACAGTCCTGACACACAGGTTCATTTGTCCTGGCTCTGGATGATCAATGTCTGATTTTCTGCCGGTCAGTTGACTTCTCTTTGTCTTTTTATCACTCACATGAAGTGCAAACTATCACCATGAGATCCATGAGTGTAAGAATAAAGGATTAGTTATTTTATAATTTGTTAATAAAATGTCAGAAATAAAATACCAAACAAAATGAAAATTAACATACCGTCCTGTGAATATGGGCACTGAGTAGTCCATGGCTTCGTTCTCTTTGTCCTCAGATATCAAATTCTGTTTTGCTCTCTTTGCTTTGGGACTCATCTTATAGGATTGATCTTCAATCATCAAATTGGAGTTTTTCAGTCTGAAATAAAAATTATATTGTTAAATTCAGGAAAAATACTGTTAAGAAGCACTCCAAAATACAATTAAAGTACTAAAATGTATTGCTGTCTTGCTTTATAAGCAAGAGTTTATAAATTTTTATAGCCATAGCCTCAGAGTTATTAAACACCTAATCAAACATACTTTTAACAAACTCATCATTATGAACACATCACTGATGCCCTTTGATATTAAATCTAATAGAGAAAATAAACAATATACCTGATAGAAATGTATATTTAATAGCTTTTGGTTTGGGGCTTGGAGCATTCATATATCCAGTTTTGATAGATCCTGAAGTCACTGAGATCACTGAGTAATTCTGAAGAATGCATCTGAACTCATAACCTCTACATTTCCAAAATTTACAGTCCTGAAATTGTCTGGTTCTGAAACAAAATGGTGGTGTGCAAATATATCCAAAGTAATTATGCATTTAAGTTTCTCTGCAGAAATTGTAGGGCAGAGTCACCAGTGTTGCCATTTCCACTGCTCTCCCGTACCACTCCAATCCAGTAGAAGTGAAGAGATGAGTGAAGTAGCACCATTTAACATAGCACAGAGAAATGGAGAATGAGTGGAAAGGAAGAAGAGCAAACCAGAGGGAAGGCTGCCCCCCACCGCCAGCCTGGGAGGGATTCTGAGGACTGTGAAGCATATTTGAGGCAATCATTTTACGTTCATTTTTAACATGGTTGCAACTTGTGTTAGCAAAGCTCCAAAAACTTCCATTCTCCTTTCCCAAAGCAACACATATCTAACTCCCAAATCTATGGCATATGCTAATTAGTTGTCTGCTTTTTATAAATCCCCAAAGTTTATTCATCTCTGTTGCAACATCACCACATTGATGATCTGGACATTTGTTTACACAGCATAAGCTCACTGCTTACATGTTCAGATACAAGAGCAGAATTAAGGCACAGAGTTTCTCAGAAAGGCTCATTATCCCAGCCACATACCACTATCAGGGATAGTCTTCCTCCCATACCCTGGATATCTTACACAGCATGCTGTACACATATAATCAAAACTCATGCTAGCACTGGGTCCCTGAGAATGTTACACATGCATAATGTAGCATTACAGGTATTATATCCTTGGGCTAATATTTTCCTTAGGCTGTATCCCTGCAAAAGTACCAAGATTCAGAGGTGTCTCCAACCCAGTAAGAGTGCTCAATTTCCCAAATATGTAGTAATAATCTATCCATTGAGACCGTGTGTAAGATCACACTGGTCCAATTTCATTCTCCCATCTTTCCTTCCTTTGTTTCTTTGTGCCCATCCTTTCGCTCAGACTGAGTTCTCTCCCTACGCAGTCCCTGCTAAATCAGTCTCTCATTCTCTAATTCTCTTAATGTCTTTCCTAATGTAATTTTTTATCCTTCTCCATCTAGTTCCTTGCCTCAACATCACATCCCCTCCCACATCGGCTTTCCAGCCCTCATCTTTTTGCCCTGCCACTTCCAGCACTGTCAGCAAGAGTTTCCTTTCCTCTTAGTTCCTATCTCATCAGACCCAACTGTATTCAGCTTGCCTGGCATTGCAGTGAGGCAGCTTCTCTCCTCTGTGCTCCCCACTGTCAAAAAAAGCTTGATACGGGGGGTAAAAGCAACCATGCACTGATTCTCCTTCCTTCCTCCTCTTCCTGTATCCTGGTTTCCACATAAAGAAAAGCACAGCCAGTGAGGGCCTGTGGTACACACTACAGGACTGGGGCCAAGGCTTTTCCACGTTAGGCACCAATGAGTCAGCCAAGGAACAGATCACGTCTACAGTAGAGAGATGCTGTGGGGTCTGACACCAGGCACTGGTGGAAGGGAGTCCAAGAGAGGCAGATCCAGCTCTAGGGGCAGAAATCCATGCAGAAAACACTTGGGCACAGTCCAGAGAGAGTACTATAAAAAGGATGTTGTGAAGCAGAGTATGCAATGGCCTCACTCCTGGGTTGGACAATGATGTGGTACAATCACTAGGGCAAACCACAAATGTATTGGGAGAACTCATCATCAAATAAGTGATGTGAAACATCAAAGGCAAACTTCTTTCATTATTTTTCATAATTGAACTATAGTCTGTAAGGAGCTGCAGTTCTTTACTTAGCAGGTGACTTTTATTCCTGTCCTATTTTAAAATGGGACAAACTTGGAATTTTCACACTGACTGCCATCAGCTTTCCTCAGGGCTTTAGGCTGGACCTTTTGGAAGGCTACTTGATTCCTGGTTGTTTCTGGATCAAGAAGGAGAATGGTACATATTTGAACTTAAGTTAAAATGTCAAGAAGTTTCTATTTTCATAAAAGTAGTTGAAAAATGTGGTAAACCTTTCAGCTCAGGCATTTACAGCACTGTTAAATCCAGACTAGCACTTTGTTCCTAAAGGAGAGTTTGGTCTTGCTGACAGTTTAGTTTTCATATATGGTTCAGATTATGCACTTGTGTAGGGAATTAATCGGGAGCATGCATAGAAATTCCCATCACTCCCTGCTGGCATTATGTTGATGTCATTCCTATATGATAGCGGGGATTTCCTATCTTTCACTTACAACACTCTAAAATTATTTGAGAAGGAAAGAATAAATTCCTATAGGCCCTCTTTGTTTATCAGTTGTATTTTTTACTTAAACACTCCAAGTGTTTGAAGTTGAATATCTCACCTTCATTTTTTCTGCCTTCCACATCTCACTTTACAAAAATGTCCCCTGGATCCTTCAGATTAATGCCAGAGATCTTTATCACAATGAAGCCTGAGAAACAGAAACAGAACTGGGACTTTTATTGAGGTATGATGACTAGGATAAAAACAGCATACATGCATGGCTGATTGCCACTCACTTCTGAGTTTGCTAAACAATGTCTCTTGATTGAGGTACTTTTGCTGCAGCCACCTGATTATTTTCTAGGTTATTACTCCTGGATCCTTCATGTTGTGGCATCCCTTGGTTGGTTCTTGTGTGTATGTTCTCAGGAATGGAAAACCACCTTTCTAGATGTCTTTTCCTCTCTTCTTTCCCTGGAAGTGGCAGCTGAAGCAAGAGTTGTTGTGCTGTCTCCTAAGAGCAATACTTTGGAGAGAGAGCACTCAGCTATCCGAAGTGCATATAATAATTGTGAGCTGAATAATGCATCCATGTGGATCCTCTAATTATCTGCTATTCTCAGACTGATAACACAACACTCCAATCAACTTCCTTCAGTCATTTGCTCTTCCAGAAAGTTGATCTGGACTAAGGAAGACACTGCTGATAAGTGTTCCTTTGAATATTGCTGGTGGTGCTTTTAGACCAGTTTCCAGTTCCTGATCAAGAACGGGTAAAAAGAAAGTTCATGGAGAGTAAAATCCTTTGATAAATCCTTTTGGTTTCAAGTAAAGACCTAGGGACATCCTGAGCCAGAGGTTGCATCCTGGCTGTAACAGTGAGCTTACAATTTTGTATATGAAAATGGCACTTTCTTTTGAACCTGTTTTTATCTGCCACTTTATAATCTCTTCTGTGCTTACACGCCACACTGGGTGAAAAATTTTCTTCCTTCACTCTCTGCACATCTATTGCATCGCTCATTAACATCACTTGCACACGTTCGTCTCTTTTCCAAGGTAAAAGCCCCAGGGTCTTGCCTTCCCCCAACAGAAAGCATTCCCCACCTCTCTCTACCCTCTTTGCAGATATCTGATCCTTTTCTAGTTTCAGACTGTACGTTTTAGATGAGATGATCAGAACTGCACCTGGTATTTCAACTACCATCATACCTTGGATTAATACACTGGCACAATATGCTTTCTGGTTTATTTTTGCTTTCTTTCACAGCTCTTCCTAAATTTCTAATTGCTCCATGACCACATTAGAGCACCCAGCTGGTGTTTTCAGAGAGATCTTCAGTCACTCTAAAATCTTCTTTAGAATTGCACTACATAAGCCAAGAGCTGAGATGAATAAATTCGAAGCAGCAGAAAATGTTTCTCCTTTCCAAATCCTGTCATTTGCTTTTGATCAGGCAGAGCTGTAGGAAGGCTCATAGAAATGCATATTCAAATGGAGCTCTTTGGATGAGAAAACAGATTAAACACTATTCTCACTATTCTATCATGAGGTTTATTTCTCTGTTTACCTTTTGTGTTATTACTATTTCCTACTGTACAACACAAACCCCAAATCCTGTCTACAACCATTATTTAGGTGGCCCAAAGGAGGACTCTGCTTTCTTGAACAAGGTTCTAAAATCTTGCCCTTTATTTTAAAATGTTCCAACCTTTTACCTGATATGTGGAACAGAATCTCCCTGGAGAAGAAGGAACAGGGTATCAGTGTTCTCTAGTTTCATAGGGAGGAACAGTACCATGACCTTTTAACATCTTTCAGCCTCATTTGATATGTCCAGCTAGCATATGTATATTTATTTCCAGGTCAGGTACTATCTGTATTGCCTTATCAAGGTTGGTGGTCCAAGCCTACTGTCCTCATTTCTTGGTGTTTTTTCAGCATGTTAAAATATCAATGCCAGCATTTTTCTACTTTCTCAGTAGAGTCACTGAGTTGTAAATGCTAAAGTCACAGGCATTGTCCTGCAGAGATGCAAAAAACAGATGCTATTAGCTTTTCCCCCCTGTTCCAACAGAGAAACTAAAGACAACAACATTATGCAGGGCTTCTGAAACTCCCAAACAGATGTTTTGTTTTGATTTCTTATTCTCAGAGATAATGTTATCACTGTCCCTGTTTCTGTGCATGAAGAGAGAGGATTCCCTCACTGCACAAATAGAGTCTGCACCCAGTGAATGTAGAAATTGGCTGCCAGAATGCTCCCAGAGCATGCTGCCAGAATGTGTTCTGTGCAGGCCACAACACCCTATTCCTTAGTTATTTCAGTCCTGCATGAAAAGGCACTTGTAAGCTCTTTTACACCACTACAAAATCATGCCCTCAGCATGCTTTTGTTACATCTCTCTCTCACTTTATTCCAACAGCATAAAGGGATGGTGGCATCCACAATGTCTGCACCAGCTGTACCTGCTGGATGAGGTCCATTAGCCAAGAGGCATTTTCCAGGCTGTCTTTCTAGTAGATACTTCTTTCCTAATACTCTGTGTTTTAATTTACTCACTTTAGAGAGGAGATAGTGGATTGGTAAACCCAGTTACAGGAAGGAAAAAAAAAATAGGATTTCTGAGAAGAGCTCTTTAAAGGCAGCCTTTAAAGAGAGAGGTGTGCTCTGGTGGCTATATTAATTTTAAGTTGTTGACAGATTTGTCACAAGTCCAGGCAATATTGCTGGTAATAATCATTCTGTTCCCTAACACAGCTTCCACAACAATTTTATTTGAAGGGGAATTGTTTCCACATAGCAGGTCTCATTAAAATAAATTCCATGCTTGACTATGACGTCTGGAAGCCACCTTCTTAACCCTCGCCTATAATAAACCAAAGGATGAGCAGTGCCAAGATCATGGTCCTCTCATGTTTCTGAAAGTGTATTATTTACCCAGCCCTGTCACGATCCTGGTTACAATATTGCTCAGAAGAACATTTACTCTCACTGTCTGGCAGTCTAATTAATTGTAAGTTAGTATGGCATCTCTCCTCTGTCTGGTTGGTTTACTTGAATTACACCACATCTTCTTTGCTGTTTTGTTTGACCTGCAAAATACATGCAAACGTCTGAGCCACACCAGTAACTTCTGTTTTCCCTCTAAGCAAGTGTTTGGCCCTTTTGGTGGTAGATAATCTGTCTGTGACACAATGGGATTTTCTGATGCTGCTAGACAGAAAACACATGGAAAAGCAGTGAAAGATCGAGCAAAGGTAAATGACTGAGCTTCCCAAAAAAGAGATAAACTAGTTTAATCCAGCAATCCTGTTTGACAGGCCTGTAGTACTATAAGCAACTTTTGCAGACCTGACTCAAAGCTTCTCAGAAACACATGGAGGATGGAGCGTTGCTGTTGAATGTTTTCCCACAGGAGCCAACCTGGCATCCCCTGAGGACTGGACAGGGAAGAAGATGGATGGCCACAACATCGGATTAAGCAAGAGAGCTGTCACCCCTCACCTGCATAGATATTGCCCACACCTTAGGGGAAGCAGCACACCCCCCTTCTCCTGCCTCTACTGAAGCCAAAGAAGCAGTGTGTGGCTACAAACAGCCCTGGGAGCTGGTGGGGAGGGCTGGGTGTGAAGGGGCAACCTTTACGCAGTGAGACGCACTTTCTTATAGGAGCCAAGGGTTTTGCAGCTTTTGCAAACTATAACCAGCAAAGCTGCAAGCTTGCATACTTGCTCTTGATTTTACCAGTTTTCATTTTTCTCCTTTTACTTCTTCAAGCTGTCATGGTGTGAAGAAGACTTGAAATGTGGGGAAGGAGAGTCTACTGGCACATGGAGATTTTTTTGTCCTCATGAGAAAGCAAGCTATGGCTCCTTCAAGCTGTCTATGTCCATGCTCTGGGCATGTTTTCCACTCAAGTGGGACTTCAACGTCAGAGAATTGGGTCCAAGTCAAGGTCTTGCAGGTTACCTAGTCCCTAGTCCTTCTGCACTATTTTCCCTGTGACAAAATCCTCACATAGCACAAATTGCACATCAACACTGTTGCTTCATGAACACTCTTCTGTACAGTGATTATAGAAAAGGATGCAACTTAGATTTTGCAAAAATACTAAAGTATAGCAGAGACTACTTTAGATAAAAATAAGAAGTGATCTGAATAAAAGCTTAGTATTTGAATTTTCCTGTGGGGCTTGTTGGTGTTTGTCCATGAAACAATATCCATTATACATAAGTGTATATTTGACATTACTATCTAGTGATACTCAATAATCAATTGTTAGTTGAAAAATTTTGCCTGGATTTGGATTCATGTGTCTATTCTTGTTTCAAATGAACATCACTTGAGGTCATTTAGATACAATATTTATATTCAAGGCCCTTTCTACTTTTTAAAAATTGAAAAAATTTGAAGACCCATTTCCTTCTTATTGTTTTCTTTTTTTGGTTCTGCACCATTACTTTCATAGAGGTAAAAAACAGAAAGTTTTTCATTTGCCCAATTTATTTTAGTAACACTTTCTGTTTCCACGTTACCCCTTGAAGTGTTTTAGGCCGTCTGGGGAAGATAGCACAAACTTGGAAAGAGTTACTTCAAATTGGCACTGCACTTAACTGTAGAGTCACATTGTTTGTTCCACTTTACCCTTGCAAATTGCAGAAAAGTGGGCTGTAAAAACAAAGTAAATACTAACATAGAGGCAATATTAACCATAAAATCATATTAAATATTGAGATTTTCATCCAGAAACATATCCTCTCATATGTTAATTAAGTTTTGTAGAAGAGAGATTTGAGTCGCAGGTGTCTAATCTCTAGAGCCCTCATCTTACATAGCAGCATTTTGTTTCTCAAGCCTCCAACACAATGATGGGACCACAGAAAAAAAAAAAGAAGTTACAGCTGAGACATTCTTATCTCTGATTACCAGGATAGTATATCAAGCTATGACAAGTTTTGTACTATGGAGTACTATACGTGCAAATATACTATTTTAAACCAAAAGCTATTATCTTGAACAAAACCTAAGGAAACCTGGAAATGTTGTAAGTTCTCTCCCAATCAAGCAATTTCATTTCTTTTAATATTACTTTGCTGACATTAGAGTTCTTCCTATTAAAAATATACAGGTTTCAGAAGACACTCACATGACAACTGAAGTGCTTGTAACTGGGACTGAGAAATAGCTTTTTTTAATAATAATTTTTTACAACTTCAAGTAATGTTCCTATTTTTATGGGAATCTTTTCTGTAATGAGAAGGAGGCTTTGGGTTAGGGTCAGCAACAGAGCACAGGCATAACTGCATCACTAAAGAAATTTGGGATATTTTGCCCTACGCAACTCTCTTTGGAAGCATAACCCTCAGTCCCAACACCTCCAGTTTGCTTCCCTTCACCAGCAGATTATAAATGAGGTTCTCACTGCTTCACTCAGTGGTTAATTATGTGCACAAGCAAAATTGTTTCAACAGCAAAGACTGGATATTACCCAGCCTGAGACAGTCAGCTGTAGAATCATAGAATCGTTAAGACTCTAAGATCATCAAGTCCAGCCATTAACCCAGCATTGCCAAGCACACCACTAAACCATGTCCCTAAGTGCCAGCTCCACGTATTTTTTGAACATTTCCAAGGATGATGATTCCACTACTTCCCTGGGCAGTCTGGTTGACAAGTCTTGATCAGTTCTTCTAACAATATTCTAAATTTTATATTAATATAACAGCAAGCAGATGTTTTGGGCTATAATTTGTTGATGATTTCCTTTGTTGCTAACAGCTGTTCTAATCTTACTTTAATATTCCCCTAATTTCTGTAAATCTCTGAGATATATGCATACAAATAATATGAGGCTACTATATCAAAAATATTCTGCTAATGTAATTGCTTAAGCAATATTTATTATCTTAAATAAGCAGAAAAACATGGCAGCTAAGCATAGCTGCTCTTCTCGTGCAAGATGGACACTTCAGGATATTTCTACTTTGGAAATAGTATGCCTCAACCAATATACAGTGTGTAAATTTCAATTTCTTGAATCAGTCAGCATAAAAGTGAAACTGTTAGGGCAAAGAAGAATTAATGATATATGGACAGGTCAGCTCAAACTTGCATGAACAGCTTTGAGTCCTTTTACTGCTTCATCCTGGTCAGGTAAGAGACAGCTTCAACCCAAAAGCTGTCTCAACTCTTCATATTAAATTCAGCTGTTCTAATACAGCTAAACAACTTGGAAGGAGAGGTGGCTCATTCCTAATCAATTTGGAACATGAATATGTCATTATTCAGCCACACCAGCATTGCCAGCACTCTTATTATGCCAGTCCAACCATCACACATGAATTAGTCCAACAAACTAAGCTGACCACAGTCCTTGCCATTCCCAAAGCCAAATGAAAAAAACCACACCAGGAAAACGCATTAACATCAAGCTACAGGGACAATTTGTGTGGAAGAGGAGTAGAGTTTTGCCACTGATTTCAATGGGAGTTGGTTGGACATTTTTGTACTGGAATGCTGTTTCAAAGATGGATCTACTTACCCTAAACTGTAGGCTTCAGATCCCAGTCTGTAGGCTGCAGCCAGCTTGTTGATGGATTCAGATGCATGGCTGTAGGCAGCTGAGCTCCTGCTGAGGGATTCAGAGTCGAGACTGTAGGCAGCAGATCTTTTGCTTTGTGCAGCAGAGTGATCATAGGCTGTGGATCCGTAGCTGTAGGCTGCTGACTCCAGGTCGTAGGCTGAGGAGCCATGACTGTATGCTGCTGAGGAGTCGAGGCTGAAGCCTGCTGCAGAGGCATGGCGATAGGCTGAAGAGCCCCTGGCATAAGCTGTGGATCCTTGAGCATAGACAGCAGCTTTACTCTTTGTTTCCTTTTGGTACTGGCTTACAGTGGATGTCAGTGCTTTATGGCGGTACGCACGGTCATAGTGCTCATGGTGTCTTTGGTAGAAAGGTAAAGACATCATGGGTGCCTCCTAATTTTGCTTTTCACTGCACACTTCTGAATGTTAATAAACAGGATGGTGTCTGAAAAAGAACAGATCAAACATGAGGACTATTGTCAAGGAAACTCCTGAGTAGCATACAAAGAATATGTAACTTAATACAAACTAACACGGCTTGTAAAATCAACTGCAATGAATTCAGGGTTTTCTTTTTATGAGGTGACCAACTTTCAGATAGATTAATCTTTAAATTTCAAAATGCTCATATGTCATCCATCATGACCAGAAACCTTTGCACTAATATGTCCCTTCATTTGTAGTTGGCGTTCCTGTTACTGCCAACTATTCAAGTTTTAAGTGTTTAACTTCTCCACTCATTACTGCAAACTAATGAAACTTTGTATGCCTGGCTTCTTCAGAGATAGTGTAAATAATTTTGTTCAATTACAATAGAGTAATAAATTATTTTAAAGCCATGAGCAATTCCAACAAGGTTACATAGGCTGAAATAAAAATATATGAACATTTCATGATTTTAATCCAATTTTCAGATTCAATTTAATATTCCATTTAGTATTTTAATGATGAATAAAAACATTAAGATTGAGAAGGATGTCAGTTTTCCTGTAAACGTGCATATTACATTGCTTATTTTGTATGTGATACTAGGGTTCAATTTAAAAGCACTTATCATACCTTTACAGTTTAATCAGGGATACAATCTGTATGCAGTGGGTAAAATAATATCATGCTCCTTAATCCAAATGAACCCTTTTTTTAACCTAGAATGTTGTATTCAAGATTGTCAAGAAACTTCCTCCATAAAATAGCCCCATCTAAGTTTCAGTTTGCACAGTCATCAGTAGATTGTCTTGCAGTTACTTGTACTAGGAAATTTGATCAGGTGAGAGGTAGTTCCCCTTTCAAAATGGGATGAGGGCTGAGTGCAGAAAGGATTTCCCTAGTTTGTTTATTTTTAAGCTATCAATTCAGACTTTATTTTGCATTTGTTTTATTTTGCTGTTGTTAAAACTGACTTTTTCTTATTTGACATGCAAGCTTGCCTCTACTAATCCACATGATAACCTTTCTTTCTCTTCTCTTTAAGCTTACAACATGTCTAGGAGTATCCCTGAAAAGATACCCAATTATTAATAGAGATGAGCTACAATGAGGAATGTTTAGAACAATTTTAAAAAGATCCAAAAACAATGGTGAGAGGTGTTTGTTATGGGGTGTTTAAATATCAATCACAACAATAAGAGATTTGTTCTGCTTGTTTTTTAATTCATCCTAATGAAAAAAAATCTAATTTTTTTCCATAAAATACAGAACTGGAGAGCAACCATGACTTCATGAAAATCAAGATATTTGAGTGGGGCTGTCCTGTGCAGGGCCAGGAGCTGGACTTTTATGATCATTATGGGCGCCTTGCAGCTCAGAACACTCTGTAATTCTGTGGATTTTTTCCCTATGGTTTTTATGCTTCCTACATTTCAGTCCTTGTCTTTTTCTTTAGTATTTATTTCTGACAGCAAGTCAACAAACTGTAAACTATTCTCTTTGATAACTGATAAGGTACTCACCCTAACCAAGATAAATTATGAAAAATCAAAACCAAAAAAAACCAAGCAACCAACCAAAAAACAACAAAGAGGAAAACTTGCAGGGTCTCTCAAGGGAGTTGTTCTTTGTAGGATAACAGAGTAGATAATTTGTTTGCAGAAGTTCAACAAGTGAGAAACTCATTCAGAAGTCTTTATGTAAGAGAAATTGATGATATCCTCATTACAGTGAAACAGTGACTTCAAGGAGACCAGTTTATGCATTTCCATTATTTTTATCTAAGGAATAGGGAGGAATGGGAAAGTGTTAGCTCATTGTTCTCTCTGGTAAAAAATGATGTTCCTCTTTAATTCCCTTATTCCTCATGTTAGCTATTTTTTCATGTCAGTCTAAAAGAACACAATTATTCTGTCTAGTATCATTGTTTCTAATACCTGTCAATAGTTTGTGTTGCTATTTATTTCACTTTGTTAACTACCAGTAGAATATAATTTCTCTTATTTTTCCTAGTTTCAGAAAATTTATTTTTCTTCATTTTTCTTCATTGCTTTCTTTTCCAGATCTGGCGAACTAGGTTTAGGATTTGCAAGTCGTCGTGATCTCTGCTGAGCAATGTTAAGGCGTATGGATTAGTATTATCTTGCACACTGAAAGGGAATGAACATGAGAACATCCTGTTTTCCTTATCCAGAGTACCACAGTGGTCTCCTTTTGTCTTCACCAGCTTTATTTGCAGCACTGGCTGGATTCACCACACATACAACAGGCACAATGCTAAAGCCATTCAGTCCTGTTGCTCAGGGATTCCCACAGACCTTTCAGGCTTCAAAGTAAGGAAGGTGATCTAAAACCACAAAGCTCTGCATTTGTTGCCCTTTAAGAAGTTAAATGATGCTCTTCAGTTACATCTTATCAAAAGAACAGGCTAACATGTACAAAGGAAACCTTTTCCTTTCAAACTCATAAGGTCTGGACTTCACTGTCCTAAGGATTAAGAGTCTATGATAGGAATAAGAACTAAGGCAATAAGGCAGGAGTTGAGCACAAAGTTATCTTTCCTGGTTCAAATCAAAGACCGACACTGACTCACATCTTACAAGAGGAAACTCCTTTTATAGGTATTTTATCACACTGTGAGTAATGTTTTATATTTCTTCTGAAACATCAAGAATTGCTCATAGGTCAGAATAAGTTGGTTACACCAAGAATTGCTCATAGGTCAGAATAAGTTGGTTACACTAGTCTGATCAGAGTGATACTATCAGAGATGACAAGAAACTCAGAACCTTCTAAGAACTTTGCTCCTTTTTGGAGCACTGTGTGATTATCAGGTTGACTCCCATCTCTCAAGTTTTATAAAATCCATGTTACCTACACCCACTTTGACTGTGTCCATTAACCAGGCCCCTTCAGTGTGACGATAACACTTCCTTTCAAGATCTGTGTAGCGTTTCATATCTGCAGAGCTTTGCCTAAAAATTTTAGTGGCCATAGTTAGGTGAATATGCAGTTTTGGGAGCTACATGTTAGCAGCTGTTCAACTGAATTTTTAAAGTGACCACTGACCAGACAGACAGTTCTGTACTTGTCCATAGGTCGTGGAAACACACTAAAGGAAGTGATTTTACTTGTCTTAGCTATTGCACTGTTTGCCAGTCTATGTAATTCTTTAAGGATCTACTCCATGAATCAGTGAAATAGTGAAATAGATTAAAAAAAAGAAAACAACTCTGCTATGAAGGAAAAAAATTAGATAACATTTCCTTCAGCTCAGTTAATGGCTTTAAAATCACAAGACATCCTATGCAACTAGAAAATATTTAGGTTATTTACACATTTTGTAAACCCATGACAAACTCCTCCTGTATCTCAGTAAGCCACGCTTCATTTGAGAGTACTGTGACAGTATACAATAATAGCTGAGTGATAATAAAAAAGCCCTTGCACTACTTTGGTTTTTTTCACAGCTGAATCCTCAGATGTCTTCAGTTCATATCCACAAGTCCCTCAAATAACTGCTGAGCTTAGAAGAATAAAGGGAGCTCGGCATTACAAATTCAGATTAAAAATAATTGAACATATAAAGCCTTCTGGCATAAAGAAACACTTACCAGGACCCAAATGAATGGCAGCAAATGAAATAGCTCTCAAGTGGTGAATAGCAAAAAATACAGCAACAATGAAGCCAGCAAAGAAAGAGGTAGTTAGGATGAGGGGTAAGGACTAGACTTCAAGGTCCAGAACAAAAATAATGCCTGCAGTCAGTGGAATGTCAGAGCCCCAGTCCATACCTTTTATGGCCAGGGGGATGCTATAAATATAACATCGAAGAGGGAGAGAGACATAGACAGATACCGATACCCTGTACTATCTCTGTGCAAAGACATGATGACAGCAGCTTCAAACTGAGAGTTCTCCCTTTAAAGTATCTTCACTAAATTCTGTATAAAAGCAGCATTCCAATTCAAAATTATTTCTAGGAACTTTTTTCCTTACTTAAATTAGATTTAGGAGAACAAAAAAAAATATTGTGTCATGAGTCAGAAACTAAGGAAGACCAGTCCCTGTATTGACCTTGCCACGGTACAAGAATGTGAATATTTTATGGGTTCCTTTTTTTTTTTAATGCCAAGCCAAGGTATATGTAATACAGATATTTCTGTTTAATGACAGTCTAGCAAGACTCTATAAAGCCATACCGTGTGTTACAATTCAGTAAATACATATTTTCTTTGTTTTGTTAACAAAGTGTCACTTTTTTATCGTATTTTTTAAGATAAAATACTACATTAAGAACATGACCTCATGAGGCATTTAAGTAGATATAAACAATGCATCTCTAAGATCCAACTTTACCTCTAGGAATAATTAATAGGCTTGTCTTCTTTCACAGAATCAAAGAACATGCCGAGTTGGAAGGGACCCACAAGGACCATCAAGTCCAGCTCCCAGCCTTGAACAGGACCATCCCCAAGAGTCACACCATGTGCCCAAGAGCACAGAAATGTGCAATCGATGTCCCTGAATATTACATCAGAACAATTTCTGTCACCTGAGATCTAATAGGTGGAATGCACTATGATGTCACTGTAAGTACATATTTTGCTCTACATTGTAAATTTAACTTTCAATAAAAGTGATTAGTCCATTTTATTTTGTGCATTTGCATTGACAGAAATATTAACCCTCTCAGTTCTGTTATAGCCACTTTCCACCACATGTGCAGTGCAACACAACTGAGACCTTTCCAGATCCTCCGCCCCTGCTGGAGTCGTCCCCCTTATGGGTGTAACAATAAGGTCTGGATGAGGCCAGCAGGTCCCAGGCTTTTCTCTACAGTGATTCATCAGTATCTTCTTACTCACCTCATTGCCTTGATTCTACCTGAAATACCTTCATTGTCCCCACTGGCCACTTGTTCCCTGTCGAGCTGCTGCTTCCTGCCTGATGCTGCACTATGGAGTAAGTTCACAATCCTCTTCATTTCCCACACTGGGAGCCAGTCAGCCACACTCAGTATGTGGGCTTTTGGTCACTGCTCCTGAGGACAGAAAGTATGGCCAGCAAGAAATTGTACAGTCATGGGAACTGTATCATGGCTCAGGAAACTGGCCAAACCTGCAACAGGTAGAATGAAAAATGGGAACGCTAATAAAAGCTTTTCTTCCCCCAGAGTGCTGTGCCGATGGCAGTGCCAATGAGCTGTATATTCTGGGCTATAATGTATACCTTTCATCAGAGAAGATAGGGGCTTCAGTGGATGGACTCCTGGATTCCATTACAAATTCCTGATCCACTCCTTCACAGTGTGTCATCTCTACTGACACCTTAGAAATCTTAATGACATGCAAATTGCTTTTTAAGAATTCAGAAAGATGTAGGGAAATGAAAACAATTAAACATCTTGTTTCTCTACACAGTACAATCTGTGTAGCTCACAGGTGGGGGATAAAAATCTAAACAACATTTTCAGTGTTTTTATGGGTATATCAAGTCCAATACAGTTTCAAATTCTGTGCTGCCTCTGTTTATTCTGTACGTAAAATGGAGATACAGTGTTAACAACAAAATCTTTTGCATTCTTTTATTATTTTGGCACTTAAATTTACACATATTTATATCTAGCTTTAATATGAGATAATATCCACAGCTAATTTCAAATCACTTAACCCCTATTTGAATACCAAAGTACATATTTCAAACCTCTTGGAGCTCTGCAAGTCTCAGAATCTCTGCAGCACTGGTATCCACATGTATTTAGTCACATTGGTCTTGGGAGAGAGACTCTTGGGAAATGTTAGTTCTGTCTTCTCCTAATTAGAATTGCATAGTGCCAAGGACCAGTTTGTTTTTCTGAGTGAGAAAGCTGAAATATTAATTTAGAACCTGACATGGCAGAAAAAAATAGCTTTCTAGACTTTCCATTGAAGTTATGAGAGCTACAGCATCCTGTAGCTGTGGGCATATGTCAAATTCCACAGCATCCCATTCCATCTCTTTCACTTAAGTAGAGTCTTAAATAAAACTAGCAAAACACTTTCTGGAGCAAAAGGGTTTTGAGCATGTGTGTTGTCTTCTGAAATTTGTTTTCAAACTTGGGTCCAATTTTCTGAATCAATTCCCAAAAAATTCATTTTTCTCCAGAAAAAAAAAAATCACTTTAGGAAAATGTGCTATTCTCCATATACCCTAACTAGCCATCTTCATAACCCCCTGAAGACAAGGGAAGTCTGTGTTCCCTTACCTTCACCCATGAGAAGGTCTTAATCTCCAGGTAAAAGTCAGTCTCTGTTTCTGTTTATTCTCTGCATCACTCTCAGTCATGTATTTCACAGGGAGTCAAACTTTAACAGAAGGGAATAGGAGCAGCTTACAGCAGCTTGAGTGTCTGGCCTCACACCTGAAGGACCAAGTACAAGACCACTGCCTCCTTGATATAGATAGAAATTACCTTTGAAGTTTCCTAATCAGAGAGTTTCTCCTCACTGATGTGGAGGCTGGGTTGGATAATGAGGTGGACACTGCCTTTTCCTGCACTGCCAGTCTATGATTCTAGCCCTCACATTTTTGCTGTCCATGAAAATAAAGGTTAAATAAAAAAGATATTTCTCAGATTTGATTTTATATGCAAATGTTGGGGGGAAATAAATAATGTGTGAAATGAAGCGAAACTAGTGCAAGTGTTTCACCAGAAGTGCTGAGCATCATTGATTGTTTTGCATTGGGTGGTGCTGGTCTGTTATTATTGCAGTTAAAAAGGCACTCCGACTCTATAAGGTATTAGTCAAAATGTAATGTATTAGCAATAATACTGTAAGAAGAAAGCAGTACGATCTTACATCCCCTTTTGTGGTGGGAACCCCAAGCAGTGTAGTATCCAACAGAAGGCTCCAGGGACACGTTATAAGAGCCACCCAGTGGGTCTACAAGAGAGCTGGAGAGGAACTTTTACCAGGACATGCAGTGATAGGACAAGGGGGAATGGCTTTAAATTGAAAGAGGGTAGGTTTGGATTAGATATTAGGAAGAAATTCTTTACTGTGAGGGTGGTGAGGCACTGGAACAAATTGTCCAGAGAAGTGTTGGATGTCCCATCCCTGGAAGTGTTCAAGGCCAGGTATGGCAGAAACAAGTTATATAGGGACCATTTTATTGTGCAAAGCAGAGGCTGTAGCACTGCTGAGTGTACAGCCTGGCCTGTTCTGCATAATTAGCTTCTCATCTACTATATTTTTCATTTAGTGCTTCAGTCATTTGAAATCAATGTTGAGAACAAATCATTGTCCAGTTGAGCTAAAAATCATTCTACTAAAAATCTTTGTAGTGTTTCACACCAGCTACTTTGAATCTCTTCCACACTTTGCCACTACTCAGTCTCTGTATGTAAACTGCACAAAGATTTTATATGTGCTCGTAAATTTGGCAGGCATATGTAATACAGATTTATTCAGAATATGCAAATTGATAAGGGAAAACATTCTCTCGCTCTCTTTTTTTCCCCGACTCTGATGATAATTACTGTTGCTTTGCATAAATCACAGCAGAGCTGTGGGAGCTGGAGACATACAAGATTCAAGCTTCCTATCTGAAGTCATTTGTCAAAAATCTTGCATGTGCTGATGAGCTTTCAAAAGAATTAAGACACTGCATCTCATATCTTCCAGTTGGTTTATATTTTAAATATAACTTTATTTAACTTTTATTTATAAGCCTGGATTTTCCATCGGTTCTTATTTTCTTGTGTCAAAACTTTTCTATGTAGTACCTGTCATGGATATCTCAGCTAAGCTGTAATTCCTTATATGTTTTTAATTGGATCCCTTTCCATTTGAAATGGGTGGGGGGGTTTTTATCCATGTTATGAATTTTTAAATAAAAAATTTCTGAATGTTGCCCCACAAAGAATTATTTTCTTGCCATAATGAAAAAGAGGCAGGAGGATTGCAAATAAAAATTAAATTTATTTTAAATAAATAGCCCTTTCTTCAAAGTCATCAAAGATCAGTCTAGCAGACAAAGAATTTCATGTGGAATCTTAACAAAGCCCCATCTGCAATATAATGATTTGCAGAAGGAAAAATTGCTTTCCTCCATGTCTGTGGATCCTCCTCTTGCAGCCACTGGATTTTCTGAAGTACTTAGCGAACATGAACTGGAGAAACTCTGCTGGATGCTCTCATATATGATTAATTGTCAAGCATTGCTTGCAGGCTGAGACAAAATCATTCTCCGGATTTAAAAAAAATGAACCATGAGAATGTGATTAATTTCTTGTTCTTTTCTGGTTTCCAAGGAAAAAAATTCACCCAGTGTCTGTGGTATAACGCCCTCATTTTGCTGGTCTGTTTGGTAATTAGGTACCGTTCTCTTTACCAAACCACAGGAATCTTGGAAATTTTCCCAAGCTGTAACCATCATAGTTACATGGTATCCATGGCGTAAGAATCAGAAGACTTTGGTTCATATATCTTCTCTTTTATAGAACTTTTTGTCTTGTTATTCTGTGTTCTTCCTTTCCTTTTTTGTCTTTTTCCTCTCTTTCCCATGAGCGTTTTGGTCTTCACAGGATGTTAGCATTGCTTGACTGCACAAAACAATGATTTCTAAATTTTCTTTACACCATAGAGAATTACTGCTTAAAACAATGCAGCACCAGCAGAATTTCTAAATCTAGCTGTACTTCAGTTGTGATTTATAGTCACACTTCTCTCTAATG